ATCTCTGAGTTCAAGACCAGCCTAGTCTACAAAGAGAGTTCCAGGACAACCAGGGCTACACAGAGAAACCTTGTCTCAAAAAAAAAAAAAAAGTTGGAGAAGACAGATATGAGTATGGTGGTTCTCGCTACTCTGGGGATTGAGACAAGTGTGGAATTCAAGGCAAGCCTCAGGTATGTAGGGAGTTGGGAGCCAGCCAGGACTGCAGGAGACTGTCTCAGAACAAAGAATATTTGGAGAAGTAAATGTTCAACTTCACTGTTAAATTTGGGTGCAAATTTTTGGGAGGACACTTTGAGATTGACAGATTCTCTGACCCAGTAATGCTATTAAGGGTCATTTATTTTACAGTTTTACGCACTTATGCAGAGAAAAATGTGTAAGAATGTTACTGAGTCACTGGGAAGTTAGAAAAAACTATCTGAAAATCACATGGCTGTCAAAATGAAACCTTTTACATCAATTATGGAAATGTCAGGAGAACACTGTGCAGTTGTTGAAAAAGAACGGGGTGGATCGGGCTGGGGAGGCCAGCTCAGTAAGTGAAGAATGAGCCCGAGGCCCAGAGTTGGGATCCTCATCACCTGGGTCAGAGCCAGGTGTGCTAGTGTGAGGCTGTAACCCCAGCCCTGGGGGCAGGGGCATGTGGACCCTGGGAGCTCACTGGCCAGCCGCTCCAGACTAAACAGTGAGCACCAAGAGAGCCTGCCTCAAAATAGGGCAGAGGCCTGGAGAGTTGGTTCAGTGGTAAAATTACTTGCTACTTTGGATTCCCAGCACCTATGTGGCAGCTCAAAACCATCTGTAACTCTAGTTTCAGGAGATCCCATGTCCTCTTCTGAGTACCAGGTACACATGCAGGTGAAACACTCATATACATCCAATAATAAAATAAATCTAAACAAAAAAAAAAAAAGAAGAAGAAGAAAGGGTGAAGAGCTAATGCTGCCTAGAGGGCCAGCCTCCAGCAGCTCAGGGCTCAAAGGGTCACAACGACACCACATACTAGACTTTTTTATCTGAGGGGGTTATGGAAAAAGATACATTCTCTCTTGATGATTTCTTTCTCAATTCTTCTTTGTTCTGTGTTCTTCCTTTGTTGGTTGAAGAAAAAAGGCACTCCAAGATAAAATTCTAAGGCTTATATGGCAGCAGGAAGGTCCAGCCTCTTCTGATGAACCAAATTGGACTGGACTGGGCTAGACTCTGAACAGCCGGACAAAGGCGTATTTATTGATTGTTCCACAAAGTATCTTCTCATACCAAGGTCTCTAATCTAAATTTACACGTCTTACTGAAGAAGAGCATCACATGCCTCCATGACTCTAGTCCTTTATTGTGTATCATGTGCAATACACAATAATGCAAGAGCCTCGGGTGTGCCTGAGTCGTGTTGGGACCAAAGTTTTGGATGGCTGCAAAGCCCCTTCAGCAAAACAATCACTGTTTTCCATAAGGATTCTTCAAGGTCAAAGTCCTTCTGAAAAACAGCTGTTCATTCTAATACTTATCCTACACAGTGATTCTGCTAAATTCCTACAGAGTACAGGTAAAAACGTGTATTTTTTCCATAGCCAACTCTTTTGTTAGCAGGCTGTCTATTGTGCTTACAAAGAAAGGATCAGTCATTTTACTATTTATCTTGAAAGTTAATCTTATAAGGAATCACAAACCTAAACTTTTATACATAAAAAACAGTCAGCTGTACTTTAGATCTTAGGAGGGTGCATACCCATTCATCAATAGTTTTTTATACCAGGAGACTGAGGGCAGAAATGGGTACAAGGAATTAATCATCACCCTTGATCATCAACCAATCCTAGCAAGAAAATACGTCAGCTGGTAACAGTTGAGCTGCTTTGTATTTTTTACTTCAGCTATGTGTGCTAGTGAACTTCAGATTGTTTTCTGGGGTTTTTCATCTTAAAGCTATTGTCAAAACATCTGCTCTAACCTGAAGTTATTATAAGGCTTTGTTTCAGTTAATGATACACACCGAAACTTGTGACTTCATCTTTCAGCATTAAGATTAAAGGAATTTGAGGCAGCCTTGAACTTCAGTTGACACCTGCTGCTCCTATGACATGGCCACTGGCAAAGAGCAAGGAGGAAGACACCAGACATTGATCTCTGACCTCCACATGGGCACATAGGAACAATTACACTCACACACAGGTGCACACACATGCATATGGTAGACACACATGTATGCTCACAGAAAAGAATGTGACTATATTTGTTGGAGTAGAAAAGAAGAAATTTTATTATTAATTTAAAAAATGCAAATTTAAGGAAAGTTGTATGAAGTTTTTTGTTTGTTTGTTTTTGTTTTTGTTTTTTACATATGGCTATCAGTGTATATGTGTGAGTATGTATATGCCTGAAGATGCTTATAGTATTCCTGGAATCATAAGAAGCTTAATATAAGTGGACATGGAAAGAGGGAAATTAGTACTTTACCAGTGATATGGATGGGGTAAGGGGCAACGAGCATGTAAATTAGCAGGCATAGAGACAAGAAAGTGCATTGTATATATGGGATTGAACTTAGGAATTTGAGGGTTTTGTTTGTTTGTTTTTAAAATTTTAGATTTCTTTCTTCTGTTTTTGTTTTTTGTTTTTGTTTTTTTGTGTTTTTCAAGACAGGGTTTTTCTGTGTTGTCCTGGCTGTTCTGGAACTCACTTTGTAGACCAGGCTGGCCTTGAACTCAGAGATCCACCTGCCTCTGCCTGGAATTAAAGCCGTGGGCTGCCGCCACAACTACCTGGTAGATTTATTTCTTTTATGTGTATGAGTGTTTTGCCTGCGTGTATATATATATATATATGGTGACCAAGGAAGTCAGAAGAGGGCTTTAGATCTCCTGGAACTAGAGTTATGGATGGTTGTGACTCACCACGTGGTTGCTAAGACTTGAACCTAGGTTCTCTGTGAGAGGAGCAAGTGCTCTTAAGCTCTGAGGCATCTCTTCAGCCCGGGGATTTGATTTACAAGAAAAAATTTATCTTGGGAAGTAATGGAACACAAGATGGACTAAGAAAATTAGGAACAATTCATGGAGGGTTTGAAAACCAGGCTAAGGAGTATGTTATTAAGCAAGTTTTAGGGAACTATTGAAAGTTTCTGAATAAGAGAGTGACAAAAGTCAGGAGTGTATTTTAAGAAAGTTAGTTTCTGAGTAAGGGTTGGAATCCTGGTTTGGAGTCTAATATAATAACATCAGTGAAAAGATGAGCATAGATTCAAGAAGAGTGAGAGGTTTGGCAACCAATTAGATTTGGTGCCAAGGCAAGGGTGGATCCTGTTTAGAAAAAATGAGCCAAAGAAAGTGCTGGGGTTAGAGCCCAGAGCTGGGGAGGGCTGTTGTTGCCCAAATGGAAGTGGGAAGTCAGGAGAGGCCTGCCTCAAGGGAAAGGAGGAGGGTTTAGTTCTATGATTGTTTACTCTCAGGTACCAATGAGACATTCAAATGGAATCATCTAAGCAGGCTTAGGAAATAATAACCAAATGGAAGCTGGGAGACTAGATCAAGTCTTAAGTGGTATTGATTTGGGAATTGCTTTCTCTAGAGTGGATGAGGCTACAGGAGGAAGAGAGTGGAATGAGTAATAGATGGTTGGTAGGAACAGAACTACATGTAAGGAAGGAGAGGGACTAGTCAAAGCAAACAGTAACCTTTGGAGGATAGATAGGACTATACAGAAACAGGCTTCTCCAGGCATTGGCCATTGGTTTATATACATAAACATATATAGTTTATTTAAATATTATCAGACATAATCTGAAGAATACACATAAAGGAGAGGTTGATGGTTACCTCAAATTTGCTCAAAGGATATGTGTAGTATGAGTTCTGAAGAATTTTAGAACAGAATGACAAAATCTTTTTGTCTTCAACCTTATGTTAAAGGTGTGCATCTAAGATGTCTGAATCCATTCACTTATTCACTTGACAAATATTTATTGAATTCCTAGTATGGAGAGGGATTGTTGTAGGAATTTGGAATAGTCGGTGAACAAAACAGACACACACAAAAATTCCCTTCACTCAAGGAGCTCATGTTATAGTGAGGAGACATAATCAACACAAATAAATTATGCAGTATGTTCTTAGACTGTAATTTTATATACACCTGTATATGTGTGTGCTTGTAGAAGCCAGAAGTAGACATCTAGTGTCTTCTTCAATTGCTCTCCACTACCACCCGCCCTTTTTTTTTTTTTTAAATACAGGCTCTCTTACTGAACCTGGAGCCCACCAATTTGGCTAGACCGGATAGCTAGCAAGCCCCAGGACTCCTTCTGTCTCCAAGTCTCCAGCACTGGGATTGCAAGTATACATTACCATAGCCAGCTTTTTACGTAGGTGTTGGTACTAATGGTTGAACTCAGGGTCCTCCTGCTGCAAGGCAAGCACTCTACTGGCGAGGCATTTTCCCAGCTCCCCTTCAAGACCATGCAGCCATGGCTAGCCTGGAGCTTGCTCTGTAGACCAGGGCCTTGAACTCACAGAGATCTGCCTGCCACAGCCTCCTGGGTGCTGGGATTAAAGGTGCACACCACCACAGCCTGCCTAGGACAGTAATTTTTAAAGAAGTAGTCAGTTTGGATTTTGTTGAGATGATATTAGAGCCGATTTGAAGATGAAGGAGTTAGTCATGATTATATGGAAAAGAGGCCTATGTTTGAAGCATCCCTGACAGGTTTGGGAAACAGGGAGGCCGGTGTAGCTGGAGCAGATGAATAGGAAGTGGAGGGAGATGAATCTGATAGATAGTGGAGGAGAGGGAGTGGCGGGCCGCTTGAGGTCTTGCAGAAGGCTATATAGTATCTTGTGAGTAGCAGGTGCTCAGGAAGTGTCTGGCCCAAATCACCTGTGGCAGCCCAGGATTATCATTAAACAGCACTTCTCTGTGCACTTATTAGAGTTATTTGTGACTTCATCCCAGGCCCTCCCAGTGGTTCTCCACAAGCATAGCATAGCACAGTGCACAGCAGGGATCAAAGCGAACACTGTATTCTTGGAACCAGAAACAGGAAATTCATGTCAAGTACTGTGGCTGCTGAGTAACTGTTAGGCATTTCCAAAAAGTCCATTAGGGTTGGAGCAGGTGCTCTTTCGGTTTATAATCACAAACCGCATCCCAACCCTGGGATGTAGCTCCTTATTTCCAGCCTATGAGGAACAGCTTCAGTGATTGAAGTCCTTCTGCCTTCCATCGACATGCTCCTGAATAATCCTCCGGAGATGATGGTGACACTAATACACATCTCAAGTGGCTACAGGATTTGTGCTTTAACTAGTCTCCGAGATCATGAAGCCTTTCCTAGCATGCACCCTGTCACAGTTAATAGGTGCCGGTTAAATGAAGGAAAAAATAACCTTTTAAACAATGTCTTTCCTTTCCTTAGAGCCCGTTTTTCCAGCTCCCAAAATGCAGACTATTCCAGGGAACTTGGACCACAGAAACATCAGCCTCATAAAAGAGGAAGGAGGCAGAGGGAAAGACAGAAGCCTCATTAGCCGTCAACAATGGCTCTTAAAGCACAGGGAAAGACAGGCTATGTGAGTTCTTGGCTCTTCATGTCCAACAAAGTGAAACAAGTAGGTTAGGTAGCTTAGTAACTAACTTAACCTTGGGTTTAAACTCAGAATCTTAGGCTGTCTGAGTCTGTTTCAGCACTACGCTAAGAAATTCAAAGTTTGGAGCCGGAGTCTTAACTGGAAACAAAACTGTTCCTCTATGTGAAGCAAGAGAATGATCTAGAAGACAAATAAATAGGCAAGCAAGGGAATGTTTGGAAACAGAAACTGGCTGAACACTTGAGTCATCTTTCTGAATGAGGAAAAGCCGTAGAGTCTGAAAAAACACAAAAGAGACTCAATTGTTCTTCCCCTTTGTGGGGCGGCAGTGCTGAGGGAACAGTTCAGGCCTCTGTGCCCACGCTCGGCAAGAGGTCTATCAGTAAGCTACATCCCCAGATCCTCGACCACATTTCCTTTGTAACTATGCCCGTAAATAGAAATCCGAGAACTCTTCAAATGTTAGTACCCTTTCCACAGCAAACGCTGCTAAACTGCTCGTCATCACTGCTTTTCGGTTTCCTGTAGGCCTAGGTTCGGATAAGTGTCAACTCACGTCACAAAGAACTTCCTACCAGGGTCTGAGATGCTCAACGGGTAAAGCTGCTTGCTGCCAGGACTGACGGCCTGGGTTCCCAAGTCACAGAACTGATTCCCAGTTTCTCCTCTGACTGCCTTATACATGAGTGCAATGTCATGTGCGCGCGCACGCACGCACGCGCGCACACACACAATCAATATAAAAATTCTCTTCACTAGACCATCCTAATTAGAGTGTCCTATGGGCCACAGACCTTTTCATCTTAGGTTCCACCTTTGTTCTTATAATACTGAAAGGCAGTGACCTCATTTTGAATGTAATTTGTAAAAATATGGTTAAGGTTTGTTTTGTTGATTTTTTAAAAAAATGTGTATGTACCTGTATGTGCACTCTATGCTTTCAATGCCCAAAGAGGCCAAAGTCAGATTCCTTGGAACAGGAATTACAGGTGGTTGTGAGCTGCCGTGTGGGTGCTGGGAATCAAACCTGAGTCTTCTGGAAGAGGAGAAAGCACTCTTAACTGCCAAGCTATTTCTTCAACCCATTTTGGTGTTTTAAAAAAATATATTTACTTTTATTTTTATATGCATGAGTGTTTTGTCTGCCTATACCACAAATGTGCCCGGCACCCATGGAAACCAGAAGAGGGCGTCAGATCCCCTGGGAACTGGAGTTAAAGGTGGTTGTGAGTCACGATGTGGGTATTGGGAATTGAACCCAGGTCCTCTACGAGAGCAGCAAGTGCCCTTAATGGCAGAGACATCTCCAGCTTGTTTTGTTCATTTTTGAAGACAACTCTCACTAGCCCAGGCTGGCCTCAAACTCAGAATGTTCCTGTCTCAGCCTCCAGAATGCTGGGATTACAGGCACTAGTGTAGTTTATTAGAATTCTGTGATGGGTGTGTATTTGTGTGTGTACATGGAGGCCAAAAGACAACCTTGGGTGTCACCCCTCATGAGCCATCCAGACAACACTCCTTCACACTGTCCTGCAGCTCACCAACTAGGCTAGGCTGGCTGGCCAGTAAGCCTAGGGATCACCTCTCCAATGCTGGGATTTCAAGTGCATGCCATCATTCTTGCTTTTTTTTTTTTTTTTTTTTTTTTTTTTTTTTTCTAGACAGGGTCTCATTATGGAGCCCTGACTAGCCTTGAACTCACTAGAACAGGCTGGTCTACCACATCTGCCACCATGCCCACCATGCCCACCATGCCCCACAGAAAAGCAAGGCCTTTACTGACTGAGCTATCTCCCTAGTCCCAGTTGGTTAGAATCTGACGCATCTTCTGCCGGTATAGGGTTCAGGCTTTGTATCTGGAGATCCAGACAAGGATTCTCAACCCTCCTCTCAGCCTCAAGAGTCTAAGCTTCTGTTCTTGTTCTGCAGTTTTGTTTTCTTTTTCAAGAATCTTGGAGGAGAATGGGTTTAGTTGTCCTAGAACTATTTCATTGAGTTTTGTTTCTGGTACACCTACCCACTGCCCAAACGGGCCAAACTAGACATTGTGGTTTAGACCCAGATCTCTTGTCAATTAAAAACAACTTTCTTATTTTTCTTTTACTTGTTCTTTTGGGCGAGTAGGGGATGGCGAGGGTGCTGCTGCTCGACTCCAAACTGAGACTGTATTGTTTAGGTATGGGTGGTCCCTTGAGTGGGAACATTATTCTAGCAACCGTTTAGGCTTTAGAAAATCAGCCACTGAAACCTGAAACCAAACTCTACAAGTACATAGCACTAGGACTAAAAAGTTTCCTGCTTTTACTGGAATAACATACCCAGAGAACCTGATGGGCTCCTTAGTGTCTTATTCCAGCCTCGACATACAGCAGGCAAATTAGGAGAATAGGTTTTTGGTTGGTTTGGTTTTGTTTTTCAAGACAAGCTTTCTCTGTGTAGCTCTGGCTGTCCTGGCACTAGCTCTGTAGACCAGGCTAGAATTGAACTCACAGTGATCCACCTGCCTCTGCCTCCAAGTGCTGGGATCAAAGGTGTGCATCCCCACGCCCAAAAGAATGTAGCTGTTTAAAAACTGGAGTCTGTGCATGTGTGGTGCTAGAAATATTGCCAGTCGTGTTCTGGGATTTTTCCCACTGTGTTGGACAGTTTTGCTGGTCACCATCATTGCAAGGCAAAGTCAAGTTCTGTGACATGGGAGACCTCAGTGAATGAAAACAGAAGTAGAAGATTCATGGTATACATGCCATGACAGAGTTTCTGGAGCCTGGAGATGTCACTAATGATCACGATTGTGATCCTGTCTGGACAGGAGCTCAGGCAGCTTCTGTCAACCCAATGAGCTGCATTCAAGACGAAACCTCTCTGCCATCCTTCCTCTACAGGAAATCAGGGCGTCATGTCAGTGAACTCTCTCATCTTGACCTGTGTTCTCAAGATGAGCTGAAACTCCAACACAAACCCTACACCTTTTTATCCCTTCATGGTTGACACATCTCTGAAGATGTAAGAGGTGATGTCCCCAAGCAGGGTTTCCACAGCATGAGTCTGCCAGATAGTGTAAGTGCAAGATTAGTCATGACTCCAAGCCAGCCAAAGTAATTAAGAAAAGCTAAATTTATATTAAATTATCATAAAGCCCTAAAACACTCAACATAGTGGTTAAATAACTCCAGAAAGTCCAATCTCTCCAGTAAGTAATGTTAAAATCATTACACATGAGCATGGGAAAATCAATTCCATTAGTTTAGGACAGAGAGATTTTGCCCTTTGTACAGAGTAAATCAGTGCTCAAATAGATATTTCCTCAAATATGTCCTTTCTACATTCCGAACAGCCCAAGTGCAATAAGAACCTTGCCCCTTTCCACTCAGGAGGATGCTACTCTTGTTTTTTTTTTTTTTTTCCTCCTCTCCAACTATGAATTTAAAGACTCAAATGCTGCCTCATTCAGCGTGCAATGTCCCTACTTCCTCTTAGGAGTGGCACTGTACTTTTTTAATTGGTGCACTGGAAAAGGCCTGAGAACAAGACTAATGCTTTGACATCTGTCTCCTACTCCTGTAACTAACCAGAGAAGATTTGATCTTGTCCTGTTTTTCATGCATATGCTTTGCTGCTGATCTCTGAATAGCAATAACCATGAGAGATGTTTTAAATCAGGAAAATTCCCCTAAAAGCTCTCCCCTCCATTCTCAGCTCCTGTCAATCTCTCCTGTCGCCTCAGTTTCTAGAGAGAAGTGCCTGGGCTTGCGCTGGACTAGTTCTTACTGCCTTTCTTCTCCTGGCTCACCACTTTGCATCGTCATTGGCCCTCTTCATCACTGGACCTTTGAGACTGATGGTGACGTAAGGATAGAGTAGAAAAAGCAAACCTAGACTCCCCTCTCTCAGAAGTGAAGAGCCGGGAAGACATTTTAGGACAACACGAAAAGGTCTCAGCTCTGCTGAGAGAAGCCCTTGGTCTAAAGGAGCATGACGCAAGTGGTGGCAGTTTAGTGTGGGCAGTGGCTGGGCAGAGTTGGCATGTGGGCTTTTCCACCCTAAAGCCACAGGTGGTGTCCATGAACTTGTGTCCCTGAGCACTTGAGAATGAACCTCGTAATACTTCTCCAGGGCCCCTGGGTATCTTGTCTCTCTCTCTAGGTGTTCTTCCTGACCATTTAGGAAAATGTCTAGTCATTCTTTGAGAGACTGTTAGAGAAGTGCTTCTCTTAGAACCGCGGAGAATGGGAGAGGGAAAGAATAGTGAAGCCCATAGGATACTGTGCTTAATCTATGCAGAGCTTCTCAAAAGTCTTAGAGGTCCAGTCTCCAAGGCCCACCTGCTGTTCACTCAAGCTCACAGCATAGTTAAAGGCTTAGGAAGAGTACTGGCCAGTAGCAGCACCAGGAGGGAGTTCCTATTTGTGAGTTACCATGACAGGGGCCTCCAGTTATCCAAGGTAGAAATGGCCCCAGACATTCCAGCAGGAAGAACAGCTTAAGCCATACTCACACTTCACCTGTATCACAGCTGACAAAGCTGTGACTCCTGGGTGAGAAGAATGTCCACTGCCAGCAATGGACAAGACACCAGGACTCAAGTACCCCACAAAAACTTTTCATCATTACCAACATATGAGGCTGGAGGTTTCCCAAACACCCAGACCAGCTGGGATGATTTTCCCTTCTCTCAACCTCTATCCATTACCCTTTACCTGTGACCTCCAGTCCCAGCCCCTAGTAGGCCGGTTCACAGAGAAACCATCATGTCAGCTGTGATGGGGAAGAGTCTTACATCATCAATTGCATCGGTATTCTGGGGCAGGGCACAGAAGGTGCCAGGGGAAAGAGAGATGAAGCTCTGTGCTGACCAGGAATCATGCTGAGCCCAGTTTCAGGGGGCCCAGGATAGAGCACTAGAGGTGAGGTTCATGGTAAACAGGTCTAAATTCTTGAGATGTGCCCTCATTTCTTGTCCCCAGGTAAGTTGTGGACTCAGGTGAGTAACAGGTTCTAAGGGGGCTTGGAAGCAGTTTGGGGTGGGAGGAGGAAGAGGAGCACACGGGAAAGGGGTCTGCTGTTATGTGAGCACGAGGGTCAGAGGTCCACAGAGGAGAAGGAGCGGGCAGGCAGGGAAGAGAATGTGGCCACTTAGACCTGGCTCTCTGAGGAGAGCTTGCGTTCATGTTTCCAGCCCGTGTCTGGCAGAGAGCCCCGTCTTTCGGGCGTGGCTGCAGTGTGGACACTGCTACACTCAGACTGCTCTTCTTGCAGCAGCTGCTCTGTCTCCGTGTCATCTAGGGAGCCAGAGCTGGCCTGGATGGACACTGTGTCTGTCTTCATGCACACATGATCCCGTAGAAGGCCCCCCCGGGAGCTTCGCAGTTGCTTGAGGTCATCCCATTCAGCATCATCTCCAGAGAGGAGGCAAATTCCCTCTACAATCTTGATCTTCTCCTTGGTGTAGTTGTGGTCAGGTCCACCCTGGGGTGGAGATGAGACACATAGTCAGTTGGTATTCTATAAATGATTTCACGGTAAGCTGAGAAGGGAAGCAGAGCTGAACTGAAGTGGCTATGGAGGACACAAGCCCCACAGACTGGCCGGGAGGGGACAACCATGGCTTCTGGTCCTCCACCAGCCATTTATTAGCGATGTTATCTTGAGCAAATTACTTAACATTTCTAGAAGCCAGTCTTCACATCTGCAGCATAGGGGAATAACAGCAGCTACAAGTCACACCAGTTGTGGTGAGGGTTAAATGAGGCATTTCATGGGATGCAGCTGTTGGAGCACTGGACACAGGGTACACTAAAGCACATTAGCTGTTGCTGTATTGCCACCAGGGGTTATTAATGGGACATCATGCTGACATAAGTAATCAAAAACAATTGGCAAAAGCAATCCAGCATGCATGTATTAAGGATTTTTATGTACTAGTTTGCTTTGAATGATCTTTTTAATTGTGGTAGGAACATTTAGGAGGTAAGATTTGGGGAGTGGGATTTAGAAAATCCTTGTATTTGTGTTCGTAATGTCCAATCTTGAGATCCGGTAACCTATAACTCTTGGGGAGGATCCTCTGGATCTGCTTCTACAAGCCATGGGAGCATTTCCAAGCAACCCGCATCACTCTAAGGATAGTTTTGACTTCTGCTCAAGTTCCTTCTTTATGTCCTCTTCAAGGGCAGCCCCATCCTGACTTGTGGGGGATTCTAATTATTATCCTACCACTCCTAGGAGCAAAAGGGCCATCGTAGCTTGGGTTCTGTCCCTGGAGTAGTATCCACAGTCTCCAACCATTGCTTTCTGTTAGTAACAGTTCAGTTTCACAGGTGTTACTAAGGCAGAGCCCATGCTAGGGGCTTGATGAGAGGCTCTGCCCATAGGGGTCCCTCTCAATCACGGAGAGAGACAGAGGTAGTTTGCAAGCACACATAGAAACTCCCCTCCACCCAGCACACCCTCTGAGCTGAACTTAGTGTGAGATAACATGCAGGCCCACTGAAAGTCCTCATCACAGAAATGCACTGGGTAAGTGGGGGTGGGGTGCATAGCAGGGGTAGTTCTGGAAACAGCATTTCCTTCACACACAGAGAGCAACAGGTACCTGCAACCAAGAGGAAATCAGAAGAGAAAGGGTGAGAGGCTGTCAGAGGGGTGAAAGAGCTGCTGAGGAAGAAGCAGACAACAAAAGAAAGAGGTCACACAGTCTCCCTCTGTTTGTGGCAGTGGGGATGGAGTCCAGGGCTTTGCATGGGCTAGCCTGTGCTGTACTGCTGAGTTACACATTCAGACCCATTTTTCAGGTCTAACTGATAGCCTTCATTGTGATTCTTTTCTGGGACATCCCACATTTAGGAGCTCAAGAATCCCCAGGAGTCTTTCTCAGAAATAGAGGAGAGCTTTCCCATCCCCAGAACTGCAGGCAGTCTTGTGAATTACAGTAGCAGCTTTTTACATACGGGAATCCCTGAATCCAGAAAGTGTAGGATTATGGTGTACAGTGAGGGTCCTGCAGGGCTGACTGCTAAACACATCAGAGCAGACTCACAAGGGTCTTCTTAGGGAATAACAATGAGGGTTATAGGATGCTGTGGGATGGTCTGTAAGTCAAATGTGTTGTTGATTGGTCAATAAATAAATCACTGATTGGCCAATGGCCAGGCAGGAAGTGTAGGCGGGACAAGGAGGAGAATAGAGCTGGGAAGTGGAAGGCTGAGTCAGAGAGACACTGCCAGCCTCCACGATGAAAAACAGCATGTGAAGATGCCGGTAAGCCACGAGCCATGTGGCAAGGTATAGATTAATGGAAATGGATTAATTTAAGCTGTAAGAACAGTTAGCAAGAAGCCTGCCACGGCCATACAGTTTGTAACCAATATAAGTCTCTGTGTTTACTTGATCGGGTCTGACGGCTGTGGGACTGGCGGGTGTCAGAGATTTGTCCTGACTGTGGGCCAGGCAGGAAAACTCTAGCTACAATAGGATTTTAGAAGAAATCAAGTTCTACCAGATTAGGAGAATCTGACATCTCAGACCTCAGCTTCCCTGCAGAAAAAGGACTAGTTTTCATTCCTAAATCAGTAAATTTTATAATAACTTAACAAAACATTTAAAAAATAAAACCACGTAAAATCTTCAGATTTCTAAGAAAGATTTTTAAGAAAAATCTCTTAAAAACTTTAAGAGCAAGGATAAGAAGAAACTAGCCCTCCCCAACAGCAGGTACTCGGATCAGAGATTAGACAAAGAAGGCGTCCAGGAGCTCCTGGGCTTGGGGAGTGTTGTCCGAAAAAGCCCCCTTGCTTTCGAAGGGTATAGTCTCAGCATAGAGGAATGACCGCCCCAATGAGGGAGGCATCCATAAACCTGGAAAACCTCCTTCAGCACAGAGGAATGACCACCCCAATGAGGGAGGCATCCATAAAGCCGGAAAATCTCCTTCAGCACAGAGGAATGACCACCCCAATGAGGGACGCATCCATAAACCTAGAAAATCTCCTTCAGCATAGAGAATGACCACCCCAATGAGGGAGGCATCCATAAAGCTGGAAAATCTCCTTCAGGGAGATAGATATTCACTGCCACTGCTTTCAGACCTAAGTCTTCTAGCCTTGCTTTTACTATGGTCCCCCAAAGATTCTAGATCTCTGCAGAAACCCAAATAACACTCAGTTTTCTGTTCGCTATAATTTTCAACGTGGTAGATCAGACAGCGCACAGTCCTTACTCATCCACTTAGGTAATTCAGTCATAATTCCTCTCTCCTGCTCCCCAAGCCCCAGAAAAACCTAAATAGATGTTTCCACCGTTACCTCTTTCTTATAGCACAGTTGATTATACATGGCTGGTTTGGGAACTGCTTCAATTTTCACTTCCTGGGTGGAAGTTCGGTAGGAGGGGTTGCTGTAGGTCAGGTTTCCCATCCCAGGATCCGTGAGTTTAGATTTTCTGTGTCTTCAAGAGGAAAAATTATGCAGAAATTAGTGGAGATCTTTATAGGAACGATACTGGGGGAAGCTGTAACCTATGTGGGAAGCGGCCTCTCTGCAGGTCCTGGTGACCCTGCCTCCTGGCATTCACACCCTTGAGTGTGGGCTGGAGCTGGTGATTCACTTCTAGTGAACCTATTATGCAAAAGCACTAAATACTAGATGCTCATCCTCCCTCCCTCACTCCCTCCCTCTCATTCTTTAAAGAAACTGCCATGTTGTAAGTTGTTTTATAGATGGGTCACAAGCAAGCAGCAGGCGAGGGAGATCTCCAACCAACAGCCAGTAAAGAACTGCATCCTGCCAACAATGATTTGAGTAGATGTGGAAGGATTTTTTTCCAGTCAAGCCTTGAGATGAGGTCATAACTCTGGCTGTTACCCAGATTACAAGCTGTGAGGGACCTAGAAGCAGAGCACACAGTGAAGCTGCATCCAGATTTCTGATCCATACGAACTGTGAGGCCATGAATGGGTATCATGTTAACTCAGTGCCTTTTGGGGTTACTTGCTATGCAGAGATGGATCTTTGTTCTAATCCCACCTCTGTGACCTACTAGCTGGAATATGGGTAGACACAATCTCATCTTTCTGAAGCTCAGATCCTTGTCTGTAAAGTGAGGAGCAGCACCTGTTACCAGGTGTGCTGGTGCATGCACAAGCTATAGCCATCTGAGAGGAGGCAGCCTCAACTGAGAAAAATGAGTCGATAGCATTTTTGTATAGAAAAAGGCACATGAAAAGATCCTAAATTGAAAAACGACGCATCGTGCCTTCTCAAAGTGATTTCTATCGAGCAATGCTGTGTCAACCGTGCTGCGGTGAAAGGTTGTGCTTGTGTGAAGGGAAGACAGTTTGCAATTCCAATGGTTTGCGGTAGAGAGGAGTACAGAAAGTCAGCCACCCCGTGAGGAAACTGCGGAGGTTGTGACAGAAGAAGAGCAATTAGGTTTACACTCTCTCCTTCTGCTACTCTAATCTGGAGCCCAGTGGTGAAACTAGGCTGTGTGGAGGGGTACTCAGCCAACTGCGGAGCTTCAGGAGAACCTAGATAGGCTAACAGGTACCAAAGAACATGTCACCCATACAGCAAAGCTGAGGCTACCTGTATAGCATCAAAGCTGCGATCACCATCAAAATCAGCAGAATACTGAGGAGCCCACCGATGGCGTAGCTGATGTGAAGTCCTTCACCTAGGAGAACAGGAGATACGAGGCAAGAACAGTTGACCACCCTCTAGCTGTTGCTGGTGTGAGGGTGCCTTTTATCTGTGTGGGGTTGCACATTGTCTGAGGAGGGCGAAGGTCACAGAAGCGAGGCGCAGGAGATGGGTGGGAAGCACCTCCAATCCCAGTCTGACCACTTACTTCCTATGTGACGTGAGGCAAGATGCTTGACTTCTAAGTGTACATTTCTCATTAGTTCAATGTAACTAGTGGAAATTAAATGACAGCGCACACTATACATATACACCAGCCCCTCTAGTGGAAATTAAATGATAGCACACACTATACATATACACCAGCCCCTCTAGTGGAAGTTAAATGACAGCACACACTATACATATATACCAGCCCCTCTAGTGGAAGTTAAATGACAGCACACACTATACATATATACCAGCCCCTCCAATCTGTGATTTCTCTTTCTCTCAGTTACCCATCATCAATGACAGCCTGAAAATATTATTATATTAAAATGAGAAATTAAAATATTTGGAGAGAAAAGAGCAATGATAGTCATATAACTTTATTACAGTAGATTGTTATACTTGTTTTATTGCATTATTAATCACTGTTGCTAATATCTTACTTGACCTAATTTTAAAAGTAAACTTTACCATACCATAAATATTGTGTGTGTATGTATATATATGAAAAACATAGTGTAATAGGATTCAATACTCTCTGAGGTTTCAGGGTTCATTGGTGAGTTTAGAATGGATCTTTCATGGATAAGGAGGATGTGCTGATTACTTCTTTTTTTTTTTTCAACTGGACACAGGCTAGAGTCATTTGAGAAGAAGGAACCTCAATTGAGAAAAAGCCTCCAGTTAGCCTGTGGGGGCATGTTCTTGATTAGAGATTGATGTGGGTGAGCCTATTCCATGGGGAGGGTAGCTCCACCCCTGGGCAGGCAGTCCTAAGACAGGATTTATTTATATAGAAAGCAAGCTGAGCAAGCCACGAGAAGCACACCGGGAAGCAGTACTCCTCCACGGTCTCTGCTTCTGTTCCTGCTCTGACTTCCTTCAGTGATGGAGTGTGACCTGAGAGTTACAAGATGAAATAAACCCTTTCCTCCCCACGTTGCTTTTGGTCGTGGTCTCTGTCACAGCAATAGAAACCCTAACTAAGACAGGACACCATAGTATTCACACGCATATACATGGCATATAATACTTATCAAATGCCTGGCAGGTACACTGTAAGTGGTGACTCAGGATTATTATTTCTGTGGATTTAGTCAATGAAAAGAGTTCATCAACCCTGTAAGACTCCTCACAAAAGCTAGGAAAGAAATGAGTGGAGACTTAGTCCATAAAGCTAGGTGTGATGGTATACCCACACCATACTCGCAGCACTTGGGAGACAAGAGGCAGGAAGATTCAGAGATTGAGGCCAGCATCACCTAAATGCTAATAAATAGTCTGTTTCAAAAACAGATAAACAGAAGAATCTTTTCCAGGACCTACCTGGAGCAGCAGGTACAGCCTCATTGGAATGTACACAGAGACCCAGCTGGGCATCCCTTTCAGAACATCTGTGGGGCATAAAAAAAAAGACATGAAGGTTTCTTGTACTCAAAGAGATCCTCACCCTCTTCCAGGAAAGGAGGGAAGGACTATGAATAGGGCTTCCAGGCCTCAGAATCTACCAGGGAGTCAGGGAGACGGCTCAGCAGATAAAGACGCTTGCTGCCAAGCCTGATGGCCTGAGTTTGATCCCTGGGATCCACATGGTAGAAGAGAACCAACTCCTACAACTTGTCCTCTGACCTCCACATGTGTTGGGATATGCGCCCCCCAAATGAAATAAAAACACAATGTATTAAGCCAGGCATAGTGGCGCACACCTTTGATCCCAGCACTTAGGAAGCAGAAGTAGGTGGATCTCTGTGAGTTTGAGGCCAGCCTGGTCTACATAGTGAGTTCCAGGGTAGCCAGAGTTACATAGTGAGACCCTGTCTCAAAACACACACACACACACACACACACACACACACACACACACAGAGAGAGAGAGAGAGAGAGAGAGAGAGAGAGAAATGTTTTCCAGCTGCTATGCCATGTTTAAATATGTTTTCAATTTTCTGCCTTTAAAAGTAGCAGTTCTAGGGGCTGGAGAGATGGCTCAGAGGTTAAGAGCACTGACTGCTCTTCCAGAGGTCCTGAGTTCAATTCCCAGCACCCACATGGTGGCTCACAACCATCTATAATGAGATCTGGTGCCCTCTTCTGGCCTGCAGTCATACATGCTGTATACATAATAAATACATTTAAAAAAAAAAAAAAAAGAGAGAGTGACAGTCAGTATGCTTGTGTGTCTCAGTCTGTGTCTAAGACCCTCAGATTAAAAATAAAAAAAATAAAAAAAAAAAAAAGTAGCAGTTCTAGAGTGATCTAGACAGAGTTCTAAGGACACCTTAGAAAATTCAAATCTTTCTTATACTACAAGAATGAGTGGGAAACAGCTGTTAACCAAGCAAATCTGATTGGTTATCACAAGGTTAAAAAAATTGTTTTTCTTGCCTCCATTCTTTCACAAGGGAATAAGCAAAACATCCAGAGGGAGTGTCCCGCTGGTGCACTTGCAACGCTCAGGAGGTAACTCTGGCGTATCATGGCAAGCGATTGGAGGCACCTCCCAACAGCCTTGGAAAAAAGCCCTTCAGACAGTACAAGAGCATCTGAAGCCAAGATACAATGAATCTTCAACCGGAACTCCACTGAGAAAGGCCTGAGGAAGTGACATGGTGAGCAGCTGTAATCCCAGCACTTGGAGGATCCCAAGTGTGAGGACAGCCTAAGCTACATGGTGTCCCTGTCTGGAATAAAAGTTCAGGTGGAAGGAGAGGTGGGGTGCATAGGATCAAGGTATATATGTATGAAATTGTTAAAAAATAAGTAGAAGAAAATGAAAGAAATACTAGCTATGATTGCTATTATTGTTTCTTCAATTGTGGGACACACGCACATAAAAAGGGCTTACTAACTAGAAAAAACATGGAGGAGACTGTTTTCTTTCAGCACCTCTGTTCTGCTTAGTCATGTGGGAAGGGGTTTTTCTTTAAAGTTATATTCCAGCTAACACACTTAAATAATCAAAACATTTATTACCATAGGCTATAAAGAAACAACAAGGGAGGCTGGGCGGTGGATCTCTGTGAGTTCGAGGCCAGCCTGGTCTACAAAGAGAGTTCCAGGACAGCCAAAAAACCCTGTCTGAAGTGAAAAAAAAAAAAAAAAAAAGTAACAAGGGGCTGAATTGTATGAGCATTAAAGAAGCAAACAAAACAAAACAAAAACAGAGGGCCCAAGGAGATGGTTCCATGGATTAAGTTCTTGCCAGGCCTGAGTTTGGAGTCCCAGCACCCACATAAAAAGCTGGTTGCAGCAGCAAACACCTGTAACCCCTGTGCTGGACAGGTGGAGGAGTCCTGGAGCTTGCTGGCCTAGACAGTTGGTGAGTTCTAAGGTAAGGGAGAGGCCATGTCTCAAAAAACAAGATGGGAAGCAACTGAGGAAGACACTCGACATTGACCTCTGGCCTCCACATGCACATAGGAACATTTATGTGCACACACAGGGGGGAAAAAGTCTGAGGAAGGTCCAGATGTTCCCCAAATAAACCCAGGAACTAGGAGTGTAGCTCAGCAGTAGAGCACCTGCCTAGCATGTGTGAAGTTCACTCTCCAGCACTGTGAAAACAACAGAAAGATTCTAAAGAAAACTTACTGTTAAAGATGATGGATAACATTTCAAAGTTAGTCAGAAAGGCACATGTTCAGAGTTGGGTGTTTGTTTTCTTTACAAACTACATAAAACACAGAGAATAGGGCAGACAGCATTTGCATCTGACTATATACAAATCTTTTTATTTCTAAAGATTTATTTATTTATTATGTATACAGTGTTCTGTCTGCATGGATGCCTGTGGGCCAGAAGAGGGCGCCAGATCTCATTCTAGATGGTTGTGAGTCACCATGTGGTTACTGGAAATTGAACTCAGGGCCTCTAGAAAAGCAGCCAGTGCTATTAACCACTGAGCCATCTCTTTAGCCCTTGACTATATACAAATCTTAGACTTTGGAGACACTGAGTTTAGAGTACTTATTTTGGAGCTATTGTTTCTTCTTTCAAAACTGAAGTCAGGTCATTTACCTTTTAAGCTATAGTTGTTAGCACATTAAATTTAATAAAATATATTTTATGCTTGATTTGAACAGAGTATATGGCTCTATTTGCTTATTTGATAAGGGTGTGTCTGTGTGTGTAAAACTGGGACAATGCTCTTCTACCAGTAGGGCACAGTGATCTGAATCCAGACTCCCAGTCTTGTATTGACCTGAGCCTACTTACCTTCCTCCTGTCCCCTCCAGAGCTGTGCGGGTCCTGGTGGTAGAAGAATGCAGGGTGGTGGGCAATGTGTTGGGTAGCACTGGGCTCTTTTCACTCATGCTGGTAGCTCTGGGAGCGGGAGGCGCTAGGCCAGGGACTGGAGAGAAAAGAAGATTGGAATGTGCTGCTAGAAACCAAATATGGTTCAAGAGTAGCAGCCAGACGCCTTGACAGAATCTTTTAATTCCCTAACCTTAGGTACTCTCATTTATTGCTATAAATTTAAAAAAAAAAAAAAAAAAAAAGGACTTGGATTTAGTATTAGCGATTCTAGATAAAAATCACTGGCTCACAAAGATTAGGAATAGAGATGATCTGATGATCTCTAACAAGACATCAGGAGTCCAGAGTTCCGTTCTAATAAGTGCCCGAGGCCAGACAAAGCCAGGCATGAGCATTACAAAGCCCAAGTATCCAGCTCATTTACATTATACCACTACCATGCTACTACCTAAAAGGACAGAGTTGAGGCTGCCATCCCTCTCCCTTTGCAAGGGCCCTGCTGTTCCAAGAAGCTACTCTAGGGACTCACCAAGGGAGCAGGGCTGACTGTCGGGCTCATCAGGACAGGCACACACAAAGTCAGAGGCTCTGGCAAAGCAGAGGTGGGTACAGCCACCATTGTTCACACCACAGGCATTGGTCCCTGGAAGCAAAACATATGTGTCTGGTCTGAGACAGAATAGGGTCTCTCAGCCTCACACTTCTCAAAAGGGAGGAAATCCAGGGCTCTCCCACTCCCAGGACAATAGAGCAGGAAGGGGATAATCACAAGGTTTGCTTGTGGCTCTAATTATGTTGGCCACTAACAGTCCTTGGGATGACCAGAGCCAGTCCCGCTGATTGTGAGGGAAGGGGCTCAGTTCCCAGGGCCCCACCTGTCTGCCGATGAGGGGACACCACGATGATGTCCATGAGTCCCTCCACATTGGCCAGCACTGTCTCCTTGTTGCGACCTGAGTACTTGTCGACACGCTGGATGGACTTGGTCTGCCAGTCTGTCCAGTAGATCCACCTGTCCTGCTACTCAATAAAGAACCCAAAGGAAGAAGTATTCAGAAATCGGACCCCAGTGCCACTTCTGTGTGTCAATGTGTGATCTCCCTCTGCTGAAATAAATGCCTTCTGTCTCTGACCCCAGATAGATTCTGTGGACTCGCAGACATTCAGGAAGTCCCTCCAAATTCATGAGTACATTCTCCCCTCTGCTCTTCTGCACCATGCAGCTACTTCCACATGGTGTTTGGACACTCAGCAGTACATTGTTTGTGTTTCTGTCTGCTCCACACTACTCAGTTTATTTGTTTGATTGATTGTTTATCTGCTTTGTTTTTGTTTATTGAGGCAGGGACTCATGTAGCCCAGATTGGTCTCAAACTTGCTATGTAGCTGAGAATGGCCTTGAACTCCTGATCTCCCTGCCTCCACCTCCCAAGTGCTGGAATGATAGGCACACCCCACCATGCCTAGCTATGTTTTGTTTTTTTGAGACTGAGCCCAGGTTAGCCTGGAACTCATTTTGTGGCTCAGGCAGGCCTCACACTGCAGAACCTCTTGCTGCCATGTGGTGGCAGCAGCGCACACCTTTAATCCCTGCATTCGGGAGGCAGAGGCAAGCAGATCCAGGCCAGCCTGGTCTACAGAGTGAGTTCCAGGACAGCCAGAGCTCCACAGAGAAACCCTGTCTCGAAAAACAAGCAAGCAAACAAATGAACAAACAAACAAAGAACCTCTTGCCACTTCCTCCCAAGTGCTAGAGTTAGAACCTATACCTCAGGCCCAGTCCAACTCATTTCTTCAAGGACAAGAACGTGCTTGGGTCATCTAAGTGTGTAGCACCTGTGCTCAGTCCTCAGTCAAATGAATGAAGAGCTCACTACCCAGCAAACAGGAATCCAGGTTCTTTTCAGCCTTGGCTGTTTTGCTCTTTTTGTTCAGAGCCCTGACTCCAATCTGCTTATTTCTGTGGACAGTTTCCTGACCATGCATTGGTGGTAAGATTCTCAGCCAAGGGTGAAAGGGGAAATGAAAGTATTATTCTCTTTCTCCTTGGTGGTAGACTGCTAGAGATTCTGGAGGACACTTGTAGATTGAGAAAATATATTCAGTATTAGCCTATCATCAGGTAAACCTGATGATACACAATACCGGGCTAGGCATGTAGCTCTGTGGCAGAGTGCTACAGGTCCAATCTCTGGCATTAAAAAGAAACGATGCCAATGTGGGGCTGGAGAGATGGCTCAGAGGTTAAGAGCACAGGCTGCTCTTTCAGAGGTCCTGAGTTCAATTCCCAGCAACCACGTGGTGGTGGCTCATGGTGGATCTGGTGCCTTCTTCTGGCCTGCAAGGACATATGCAGGAAGAACACTGCACACATAAACAAATCTTTTAAAAAAGGAAAGAAAGAAAGAAAGAAAGAAAGAAAGAAAGAAAGAAAGAAAGAAAGAAGGAATATAGAGTGGATGATGTTTGTCAAGTAGACAGAATGTGTCTAAGAATCTGTTCACACTCAGTCTTTCTTATCCTATCCCAAATTATCTTTTCCCCCCCTTTTTTTTTGAGAAAGAGTCTCATGTAGCCCAGAGTAGCCTCGAACTAGCTATGTAGCTGAGGATGACCTTGAACTCCTAATCCCCCTGCCTCCACCTCCTAATAGCTGGGGGATTACAACCATATGCTACCACATAGTTCCCTCAGGTTAACCTACTGTGTTGAACTTGCCCAAAATGACGACTAAGAATAATTGAAATGGTTATATGCGATGGTTAATCTCTTTTTTTTGAGACAGGATCTTATTCTGTATCCCCTTCTAGCATGGCCTTGAACTCACAGAGATCCATCTGCCCCTGTAAGCCACCTCACCTGACTTGATGGTTAATTCTTGATTGTCAAGTTGAGGGGATTTAGAATCACCATGGAAACAAACTTCAGGGCCTGTCCCTGAGGTTTCTAGTAAAGTTAATTAAGGTGGGAAGATTCAGTCTAAACGTGAGTGGGCTGGAGTCCTAGCCCGAATAAAAAGGAAACAGGTAGCTGGGCGCAGCATCCATCAGTGTCCGTCTCCTGACTGTAGACACAGTGACCAGCTAGCTGCCTCCCGCTCCTGCCACCAGGGCTCCTCTGATCGGATGACCCTGTGGACTGTGAGCTGAAATGAACCTTTCCTTCCTTCCCTTGCCAGGTGACTTGTCGCACTGATCACGAAGTGACTAATAGAATGTATTTAGTGTTTACTGTGCGCTGGGTCCTGTGCACACCTGCTGCACACTTTAGGAGAGTGTTACGATTAAACTACTTTGTTTTGTAGGTGACTGCAGCCTACAGAGGTTCTGTGTCTTGTTCAAAGTTATCCAGTTATTTACTCAGGTAGGCATCAGGCTCAATGTGAAGGTACTCAAACATTTACCAAATAAATGTCTAAAATCATCTCTGGCCTTTAGCCATTTTAACCAACTTTAAGTGAGCTAAGAGCACAGCAGTAGGATCAACAGGGGAATGTATAAAACTGGCATATTCCTGGGCCCAGTCATCACAAAGTGACTTCTCTATAGCCAGAGCCCTGGAACTTGCATTAAACAGCTCCACAGCTGATTCTGTGCACCTCTGAAAGTCATGATAGAACTTGGAAGGGCTGGGCCAGAATAGCAGAGTACCCCAGCAAACACCTTAGTCAGGGAGGGTTAGTTACCTCTCTCCTGAGCCAGTACCTGTGTGAGGGCAAAGGGGTGGGACACATGGCTGACCAAGACCTGCCGTAGCTTCCCACTGAGGTCAGCACCCTCGATCCGATCCAGATGGGCATCTACCCAGTAGATCCTGCAAAGAAAAGGAGAAGGATAGCAGATGCATGCAGGGGTCATCAGGGGCTCTCTGTTCCTTCCTGAGCTGGACTGACAGGTGCTACGCAGAGTCAGGAAACATCCCTTCCCCATGAGTCCCAGCTGAAGGAGGTGTAACTCATAAGCAGGGAGGCTGGAGCTGCTTGGCAGAGACATGGAGACTCCAGGCATCTTAGAGGAACCACCCTCAGCCTTTCCTCTGGCAATTTGATCACCCTTCGGATCCTATCCAGAAATCTAAGCCCAAATTTTTACAAATGGTCTTCAGAAAGAGAGCTCCGGCCATGTGCTCCTAAGCAAGGTTAAAAGAAGAGGGTGCCCTACCAACTCCCCAGGTGACCTTAGTTCTTTTCCTCTGTGGGCAGGAAGGAGAAGCCACCCCCCTCTGCCCTTCACATTTTCACATTTGTTTTTGTTTTTGTTGTTGTTGTTTTTTTTAATCTAGAGGAGGAGGTGCCAGTTCCAGAGCCTGTTGCTTCCTCCGGTAAGAAACAAATCTAAGAACCAGCCCCTAAATGGATGTGGAAAATAGGACACACTCTGTCTACTAACACTTATAAATCAAGGTCCTCAAACACTTGTAAATCGAGGAGACCAAACCCCGCAGAGGGCCCAGGGCTGGATTCCACAACTCCTGAGCTAAGACTGTATTGTCTCATCCTCCTCATAGTTCCCTCTTCCCCGTCTACTAAGGAGCTTTCGCTCTTTTCTTTTCCCCATGTCTCTCTCTGTCCTCTCCTTGACCCACGACATTTCCAGGTGGCTGTCTGGGGCCAGGGTTCTCACCTGCGGGTATCATAGTCCAAGGTAAGGCCATTGGGCCAGCCTAGGTCTGTGTTGATAAGGACCTTCCGCTCAGAACCATCCAGGTTTGCCCGCTCGATCTTGGCAATGTGGCCCCAGTCTGTCCAGAAGAGGTACCTAAGACACAATAGTGCCATTGTCACAGAGCATGGGGAGATGGTGCCAAGAGGTTGACAGAACAGAGGGGACACACCAATCTATTAATTGGTAAGCACCATCTAGGAGCTTCTCTTCTACCAGGCCCTTCCAGCCTGGATCTCTTTCCTGCTAGGCATGAACTTACCCCTTTCTGGGAAAAACAGCAATGGCCCGGGGCTCGTCTAGACTGTTGTTGATCAGCACTTTGCGACAGGAACCGTCTAGACGAGATGCTTCAATGGTATTTCGGCCTGTATCTGTCCAATACAGGTTTCTGGCAACCCAGTCCACTGCCAGGCCATCAGTGGTCTTCAGCCCGTGCCCGATAACAGTCTCCATGTTGCTGCCATTCAGGTCTGCTCGCCTTGGGGACAATACAGGATTGTGTGAGTAAGCAGACTAGCCAGAAATAATACCCTGGAACTCCTTGTAAGCTCCATAGACAGAGATAAAATAATGTTCCTCAGCACCCAGCATGGAGAATGAATGAGAGAATGAATTCTTAGAGTGTTTCCTTCAAACTGGAAGTACTAAAGGGTTTGAACACATGTTTTACCGTGAGGCTGGGAGTGTAGTTCAGTGGCAGAGCACTGGTCTTGGGTTCAGTCTTTAGCACAAAGCAGAGTAAAGATAGAAAGGAGCTGGGCGGTGGTGGCGCACGCCTGTAATCCCAGCACTAGGGAGGCAGAGCCAGGCGGATCTCTGTGAGTTCGAGGCCAGCCTGGTCTACAGAGTGAGTTTGGACAGGCTCCAAAGCTACATAGAGAAACCCTGTCTCGGAAAAAAAAAAAAAAAAAAGATAGAAAGGAAAGGTTTGCCAAAACCAAATTGTGCTTTTACACAGAGACCCATGCACCATGGATAGGGATCATGTCCCAGTCACCTGGGGGATTTCTCTAAACTCTACACACCACATGAGATCCTAATACACCCTCAGGAGAACAAAGACCAAGATCTCTATATCTGGTCTAAGAATTTCTGCCATGGTAAATCATTGTATTGGTATGACATCATATTCTTGAGTTGTGTTGAAATAAGAAAGGTAAAGAATAATAAAAATAATAGCAAAAAAAAATCACTCAAAACAACTGTGTAAAGCAATAGAAAACTTATCATTGGGCTAAGGTTCCTATACTATACTGCAATATAGATTCCAATTTTTCATTTGCCTTAGGGGATTCTTAGAGTTTCCCCACGGCCTGGCACTAAGTGTGGATGCTCCAGGTTCCCAACTTGGCATTACGATTACTTATTTAATATGCAAGGTTTCCATTATATATATAAAATGAGGGGGCTCATGTATCCCAGGCATCAAACTAGCTCATCATATAGCCAAAGATGGCCTTGGATGTCTGCTCCTTCTGCCTCTACCTCTCTAGTGCCTACTTTAGGCGATGCTGAGAACCAAACCCAGAGCTTTGAGCATGCTAGACAAGCACTCTATAAATTGAGCTACATCCTGTTTACTATGTTTTTGAGACAGGAGATTGCCGTATTGTCCTGGCTGATCTTAAACTCACTGTCCTCCTGCCTCAGCCTCCAGAGTGCTGTGATTAGAGGTGGAGAACCACCATAACCAGCTCTGTTTTTGTTTTTGGAGACTGGACCTTGCCCATGTTGGCCTCAAACTAGTGATCTTCCAATCTCAGCCTCCTGAGTAGCTTTACAATCGTTAGACCAGCAAACAAGCAACAGAAGTGTGGTATAAGCTGAGCAGTGGTGGCGCACGCCTTTAATCCCAGCACTCGGGAGGCAGAGGCAGGCGGATCGCTGTGAGTTTGAGGCCAGCCTGGTCTACAGAGCGAGATCCAGGACAGGCACCAAAAGCTACAGAGAAACCCTATCTTGAAAAACCAAAAAAAAAAAAAAAAAAAAAAAAAAAAGAAAGAAAAAAGAAGTGTAGCGTGCTGTGAAGTAGTCAGGACTATAACTCTGTGTCTAAACTGCCAAGGCATCCAGTCTAGTTAGTTGTCAACAGAGAACATAACCTCACACCTGACTGTTCAGAAGCAGGTTTGTGTCCCCTGCTGGTTTCAGTGACGCTCATACCTGATAACATCCAGGAACACATCTGTGTAGTAGACCTTTCCATCCACACTGTCATAGTCTAGGGAGATGACATTGTTGAGCCCAGGAACAGGAACATGCACATCTGTGTGGTCATCGGTGTCCAGTGAGATACGACGAATGGAGCCTCGGCTAGAGAAGAGCAGGTAGGTCTCCGGAGAGGGGTCACAGGTCTTCCCATCCCCCTTCAGCTGGATGCCAGTGGGGCAGGCACAGGAGGAGCCAGAAGGCCGAGGTAAGCAGAGGTGGGAACAGCCACCATTTCCTGAGCCACACTTATTGAAACCTGGTAAGAGAGGAGCAGCATGCTTTCATGCCCAGCCTGGGAGGTGGGTAGACTCCATCATAAAGGACCTAGTTTTCTTACGACTGACTGTTTGCCACTTTTAGTGACAAGATTCAGTGTTAGACAGAAGTGTGAGGTAGATCAAGTATCTCTGAGAATTCTGGAGGTAGCAGCATCATAGACCTGTGGTACCAGTCATACCTAGAGAGAAAAAAGACTTATCCTGGAAGTGGAACTTAGGAACTCCCTCTGATTGGAAGTAATTCTGTGCCCTGGCTATATCCTGCTTTGCCATAGCCCCAGAAATCCAGAGGCTCTGACTCAGAGCCCCAGGGGTCTTCTCACCCAGTGGCTGTGCCCGGTCAATAGCTTGGATGTCCATGAGGCCTGGCAGGTTGGACCTCACCAAGATGACATTGCTGCCTGTATTCTTGTCGGCCCGGTGGATGCTACGGGTCTGCCAATCAGTCCAGTAGATATAGGAGTCAAGCAGAGTGAGGCCATATGGGTGCTGTACTGGTGACACCAATGTATGCCGATTGGCACCATTCAGGTCGGCTGCCTCAATTCTCTGTGGAGGAGATTGTGGAGAGGTGGCTATTAGTCCACCGGGAGCCTTCGCTGAAGAGCCTGGACAGATCTCTTCCATCTTCCCAGGCTCCCGGGAAGCAGTGCAGGGCTCTCACCTCAGTGTGGGCGTCAGCCCAAAGCAGTTGGGAGCTGGCCTTGTCCACAGTCAGCCCATTGGGCCATCCTAGGTTGTTGTTGATGAGCACGGTGCGATCTGAACCATCCATTCCAGACCGCTCTAACTTGGCATTCTCTCCCCAGTCTGTCCAGTACATGAACCTGATTGAGGAAGTAAAACAGCTGGTTATTCTAACAGCTTCTGGATGCTGTGAACACCTGCAGCACATCAAACATACGGTGAGTTCCTGCAAAACGCCAGACACTTCCCATGCATTAGCTCACATTGCAAGGGTGGGTGACAAGTTATGCATTTTTATTGTCACCCTTGCTTGACAAGGGAGAAAGCGGATAAGGATCAGAAAGTTCAAACATTAGATCCCCAGTGAGGAAGCTAATACACACGAAAGAATCTAAATCTTGGTCTTTGTACATGTGCACCTGTGTATGCCGGTGCATGCACATGTGTGTGCATGTGAGGCTTGAGGCCGGAGGTGGACGATCCTCAGTCAATTTCTACCTTTTTTTTTTTTTTTGAGATAAGATCTTTCACTGAACCTGGAGCTCACTGGTTCAGCAAGACTGGCTGGCCAGCAAACTCTAGGGGTCCTCCTGTCTGCCTCCCCAGTACTGGGATCATAGGCACATAGCACTGTACCTGGCTTTTTATGTGAGTACTGGGATTCCACACTGAGGTCTTCATGCTCGCGTGGCGAGCACTTTCCTACCTGCCGAATCTCCCCAGCCCTTGACTCCTGTCTTCTGATGGCAAGGATCATGCTTTAAAGCTGTACACTACGCTGACACAATAAAGAAGCTGCAAGGGAGTGGAACAATCCTGGGTCAGGGGTCAGCCTACAGTGACCTCCAGGGTTCACAGTGCTCCTGCAACGCGTTTTCCACTGTGCACCTTGATCTATCCATGGTCCCAGCTAAGCATGGCCCACTCAGCTCTCCAGGGTGATAAAGCCAGCTCTCACCCCATTTCGTGGTATAGTACAATGGCCCGGGGACTGTCAAGGTTCTGCCACACCAACACTTTCCGCATAGACCCATCCAGGTTGCCAACTTCAATCCGATTGGTCCCCGTGTCTGTCCAGTACACTTTCCGGCCGATGGCATCCACCGCAAGTCCATCTGTGGTCTGCAGACCTATAGGATGTCAGAAGAACACACTGACCCCTGCCTTAAGGCAGATGGGATAGTCCGCTGCTCGTTAGCCAGACAGGTGGCCCTTGGGTGGAGGGGAAAGCTCACCTGTGGTGATGATGTCCTCATGCTGTGAGCCGTCCAGGCTGGCACGGCTGATCCTGTGCAGCGTGCTGTCAGACCAGTACACTTTTCCTGAGAGGGAACGCTTGACTCAACCCAGGCCCTGCCTGCCCACAGTGGCACCCGCACCTGATCCACAGCCTGAGACATGGGGACGTAGCAAAGACCCCTATCGTCCCAAACAGGAGAAATCGATGGAAGGGGAGGAAGGTCATAGCGCGACAGCTCTTGGCAAAGACAGAAAGGGCAGACGGTAAAGGCGAGAGAAAGAAAGGACAACGACAGCTTTCGATCGGCCACGGAAATACAGGTGGGAAGAAGAGCCACACAGACCTTCCAGAGGGTCCACTCCGATGGCAATGGTGTTCTTCATGGTCATGTTGATTGGGACCACCACATCAGCAAAATACGGGATATCCAAGGAGACCATGCGCACATCGATCCTCCTGGCGAAGATGAGGAAGCTGTTCATGCCTGCCCAGGTGGAGAGAGGAGCGGGAGGACAGTCACTCTAGGAGATCTACTGAGAGGATTTGGAGGCAGGCAAACTGAAGCCCAGAGTCTGACACTATTGGTCTGGTTGTGTGATCCCAGGCCAATTACTGAAATTACTTAAGCCTCAGTTTTCTGTTCTATAGAATGGGGATAACAACAGGATGACTATGAGAATTAAAAGAAATAATGTGTATACATAAAGCACTGAGCACTAGGCTTCATTCATACGCATAAATGGTACTTCCCTTTTGGGGGTAGGAGAGCTTGAAAAGGGGTGTCATATGGCCTAGGTTGGCCTTGGCCTCATTGTGTAGATGAGGAGGGTCTTCAACTCCTGATTCTCCCAGGATTACAGGCATTTATCACCTCTTTGTTTATACTAGGAGGGCTGGCAAGATGACTTAGTGGGTGAAGGAGCTTGCCACCAGGCCCGACGACCTGAGTTCAGTCCCTAGGGCCCATATGGTGGAAGGAGAAAACAGACTATCTCAAGATACCCTCTGGTTTCCACATACATACACGCAACATTAAGCGTGAGTGTAGCGGCAGCCCTCTTTGAAAGACCTTTTTTATCACACGAAGCTTAAGAAAAGTAGAAAAAGGGCCCAGAAAGCTTCATTCACAAGCTAAGAGGCACTCAGATTCTTTAGGAGGTTAGAGTTCAAATGCAGTCTACCGTACAGTATCTCCTGACCCCTAACGTCTGAGTAGCCAGGCCCTACTCCTGGGACACTCCCATAAGAATGACACATAGGTCCTGTGCTCACAAAAGTGGCACATCTTTTACCAAGTCTGTGCAGAAAGTGAAGAATCTTCTTCTAAACAAAGCATCAATCATATTGTAATTTTGCAACAGCTCAAACTGTTGAGACAGGACAGTCTTCCTCACGAGCAAGAAGACCGTAAGGAACAATGGAACCTGGTCTCCATCCTTCTCTAAGCTCCCACTCTCTCTTCTCACACTGAGGTCTTCATGCTCGCGTGGCATGAAGCGACACTCACAGATTCTCAGCTCATGTTGGAGGACTCTTGCAGAAGAGGGACAGCCCTATCTCCACCCAAACAGGTGACGCTGCGACTCACCTGGTGAACACGTCTTGCCATCCATCAGCAGGTTGATGCCTGTGGGGCAGGTACAGCTGAAGCCGCTTGGATTTGGGGACCGGAGACACAAATGGCTGCAGCCACCATTCTCCACAGCACATGGCGTTATCACTGTAGAGTGGGGGGAACTGTCAACGGGGCAGCCTGGGCATAAGAAGGCCGAGGGAGACGCTAGCAGCTGCTGATGGCTGCTCACCTGGAGGCCTCTGGCGGTGGAAGACATGGATGTCCATGAGATTTTCTAGGTTCTCCTGTAGAGTCTCCCGGTCTAACCCGGTCAGCCGGTCAGCGCTTTGTATACTTTTGGTCTGCCAGTCGGTCCAATAGATGCGCTGTCCATATAGAGTCAGCCCGAAAGGGTGGGGGAGCTGACTTCCAATCAGCACCTGGCAGGCCCCAACAGTGGTATCACACAACAGTACCGGGAGCAAGCAAGAGCTCAGAAACATGCTGGGAACTTCCTGGGTGACCTTGACCTAGAGCTTGTCTCTCTCAGCTCGTGTCTACCAGCGCGTGTGAGCACCTACCTGAGCGCTGTGATTACTGTAATGTCACTTACGTATTGCCAACGTGTCTTGGCTCAAATCACAAAAGGAAAATTAGCAACTTTACAATGGACACCATCTTGACCGAGCAAGCAAAATAGATACCATAACATCTTACAAAAGAAAGGGATTTCTTTCCTTTTTGAAAATGGAAAGACTGGTTGGCAAGATGGCTCAGTGGGTAAAGGGACTTGCCACCAACGTGATGACCTGAGTTCAGTCTCTGGAATCCACATGGTGGGAGGAGAGAACCCTGTAAACTGTCATCTGACTACACACACACACACACACACACACACACACACACACACACACACACACACTAAAGAAATGGTTTTATTTTAAATAGAAAGGTTAAGAAAGTCTGAGGAGGTAGCCAGATTAGAGGGTAAAGAGACAGAGCTGGGCATGTTGAGACAGGCCTGCAGTCCCAGAACTGAGGAGGATGAGGCAGGAAGACCGCTCAAGTTTGAGGCCAGCTTGGCCTCAGAGAGGGAGGCAGGGGGAGTCACTAAATGCGATGGGTTATTCTGGATTAGATATTGGAGTAAAAGAGAAAAACTTAAAATTATTAAAAGACGTTACTGAAGAAAGTGGTAATGAAATTAAACAGTGTAGATTATATAGTAATATGCCAAGTTAAAATTATTAAAAGACGTTACTGAAGAAAGTGGTAATGAAATTAAACAGTGTAGATTATATAGTAATATGCCAAGTTATTTTAATTTAATTAAATTTATTTGATTATTTATTATTATAAGTGAATGTGTGTGTATGATATCTATATCGGTACATATCTATATACTGTAATATGCCAAATTATTCTAATGTAATTTAATTTATTTATTATTATAAATAAATGTGTGTGTATGATATCTATGGGTACACTCCACAGTGCCAGTGTGAAATCAGGGGACAATCTCATGTGTGTGTCTTTGTCTTCCACCAGGGTCTCTTTGTTGTTCTTCTGCTGCAGATGCCAAGAGAGCTGGTCTACAAGCTTCTGGGGTTCTCGTCTCTGCCTCCTGTCTCACTGTGGGAGCCCCAGGAGAACAGATGCTCGTGTTACTCTGTACGTTTTTTATGTGGGCACCAGGATTTGAACTCAGGTCCTCATACTTATATGGCCCATGCTTTTCCCTACTGTGTCATTTCCAATCTCAGTTTCACCACATGAGGTTCTTGTTCTTAAGACACACGCACTGGAATATTTTGGAATTATGACAAAATGTCTCCTAATTTAATCTCAGATGATTCAGAAAAATAATTGTGTGTATGTGTTTACATTTGTGCATGTGTGTATGTGTGTGGAGAGAAAGGAGGGAAGGAAGAAGGGAGAGAGGGAGAATGAGAATGGTACATGAAATGTGGTAAAATATTATTCTTTATAGTCTTGCCATTTTTTCTGAAAGTTAGAAATTATAACAAAATAAACAATGGCAAAGGAGAGGCAGTTTAGTCAGCGGTCCAGAGTGGTTGATTATTGTTAGTTGCAAAGGATATTAGGGAGTGTGTGTGTGTGTGTGTGTGTGTGTGTGTGTGTGTGTACCCAGCCACAATCCACTCTAATTCCTAGTTTGCTTGAATAATCAACCAGCAGCCCTGTGTCCCCTGTAGTTACAGCCTTGGAGAAACAGCATCTATCCCATGCTGGTCCCATCACCTCTGGGTCCCCCTAGCTCCTGTCAGCTGGCAGCCAGAGAACGCTGTCCTGGAGGCGTCCAGAGCGTGGGAAGATGCTCTAGTGCTACCTTTACCTTCCTCTGGCTGCCATCCAGCCCAGCAAATTCAATAGTCTTCATGCCAGCATCAGCCCAGTACAGCCGCTGGGACCCGTAATCAATAGCTAATCCGTTAGGCCACGTCAGGTTAGAGGAGATGATGACTTGGCGTCTGGAGGCATCCATACCAGCTCGTTCAATCTTGGGACTCGCACCCCAGTCAGTCCAATACATGTACCTAGATGTAAGCAAGGGGGTTCTTAGACTTCCGGTCGGTATGGGGGGGGGGGCTTCTGTGTGTTTTACTGGTAGACTGCTTCTTAGCATTTCAGTTCACAGCTTGGAAACAAATACCAATGAGGATGCAGAGTCCCCAAAGAGTTTTAGGAGTTCTGCCTCCCATAGTTATCCCAGCTTCCTGTTTATTGTCCAGCCCAAGCCTGGACTCAGCTGTCCCTGAAGGCCTTAGATCTCCAATCACTTTCAAAAGGTACTTGAGAGTCTTGATAGAGGGGAGGCCAAGGCTTAAAGAGTATATAGCAGAGGAGGCCACCTTGGGAGTGACGAAAGAGGGGACCGAGACTGAACTCCGAATATGACACCACACCCAGCAAAAAAGTTTTCTTGACTGCATGTATTAAATGATTATGGCACCTAAGTTTAATAAAATTCTATGTAAGTATGAAGAAGAGCAAGGCAGGACTATACACTCAAATGAGGAGTATATACAAGATATATAGCAAAACCAAAGAAAGAAACAATTCCGAAGAAGATTTACTTTTGGTGGGGGTTTTGTTTGGTTTGGTTTTTGAGACAAGATCTCCTACAGCCCAGGCTGGTCTTAAAGTTGCTAAGTAGCCCAGGATGACCTTGTGTTCCTGATCCTCTTGCTTCTACCTCCCAAATGCTGGCATGACAGGGGCTTACCTGGCTCCAAAACAGTATGCCATTTTTATAAAATCAAATCTGCCACCACCACCACCATTTGTAGGCAGTTAGAGCAAAATACATTTTGGAAAGACATACCCTAAACTGTTCACAATGATTGTGCTGGGAGGTAAGAATTTCACTCTCTACAAATTTAATACTCTTTAATAATGAAATTACTTTTATAAGCAAACAACAACAACAAAAAACTTTTTAAAGAAAATTTGAAATTTAAAGGGCTTCCTTGCCATAGAGGAGGCAGGGATCTTACTTCCTCCTCTATCCTTAGCACATCCACAGACCTGGCCCCTTTCCCTAATCTACAGACTCCCCTCTTTTTTTTATTACTATTATTATTATTGTTATTTATTTGTTTGTTTATTTATTTATTTATTTATTTATTTATTTATTTAGGTTTTTTGAGACAGAGTTTCTCTGTGAAACAGTCCTGACTATCCTGGAACTCACTTGGTAGCCCAGGCTGGCCCCGAACTCACAGAGATCCGCCTGGCTCTGCTTCCCGAGTGCTGGGATTAAAGGCGTGCGCCACCACCGCCTACCTCCAGACTCCTCTCTCATACCCAGTTCTTGGGGGGAGTCAGGGCTTAAAAGGGACAGTCCGTACCCGCCCGTGGGCTCTACCACGATGTCCCGAGGACGATCAAGGTTCTCCCAGATGAGCACTGTCCTCATGCTGCCGTCTGTGTTCGCCACTTCAATTCGGTCTGTACCTACCAAGGAATACGGGGGGAAAAAAAGATTTCCAGCCTTGTTCATGACTTCTCCCCGACCCCTGCCTAGCATAGAGCTTTGTATGTAGTAAGTGCTCAGCAAAGATTTTGTGGTGAATATGCAGTGGATGTTTAGTGACGGAAACTAAGAAATTCAAGGAGGTGATTCGTTTCTCTCCTTGGACTAGCACAACTTTCTTTTTTTCTTTATTTTTATTTTTTTTTAAAAGATTTATTTATTAATTATGTATACAATGTTCTGCCTGCGTGTACGCCTGCAGGCCAGAAGAGGACACCAGATCTCTTTACAGATGGTTGTGAGCCACCATATGGTTGCTGGGAATTGAACTCAGGACCTCTGGAAGAGCAGCCAGTGCTCTTAACCACTGAGCCACCTCTCCAGCCCCATAGCACAACTTTCTAAACCTAGGAAACCCAGTCTGTCTCATGATTCAAGGCAAGGATTCTCACATCTCAGTGCACATAAGAATGAGAAGAGCTTGTTAAAATACAGATTCCTGAGGCTGAAGTGATGTCTCAGGGGGTTAAGAGTGCCTGCTGCTCTTGCAGAGGACCCAGGTTCAATTCCCAGCACCCACATTGGGTGGCTCACAACTGCCTCTAACTCCAGTTCCCGGGGATCTGACACCCTCTTCTGGCCTCCATGGGCACCTGTACACATATGATATATATGCATACACTCAGGCACACACATGCACATAAAGAAATAAACCTTTAAAGATTCTTGCAACGAATTCATCAAAATTCTGAGTAAGTCTGGGGTCCAGGATCTGAATTTCTCACAACTTCCTAGAACATGCTGATGCTCTTCTTCCAGAAACCACATTTTGAGAAGCACTGGTTTAAAGATATTCATTTTGTCTCCAAGTCCCTACCCCCATCAAGATTCATAAAAAAATGCCTGTTTTGTCCAGACATTAATGGAAAAACCACAGGTCATAAGCTCATCATTCAAAATGCCTCAGCACAGAAGAAGTTGCAATTTCGATAATAAGTGCTAAAGACTCATATGTACACTCAGAAGATGCCAGACAGCCAGGCCACAGCTCCCTGTACATACCTGCATCTGTCCAGTAGAGCTTGTTCGTGACCCAATCAATTGCCAGGCCAGCAGGGCTTTCCAAACTGGTATCCACTACCACCTGGGCAGGAAGCAAAGCTGTATCATCCACTGCACTCCTACACCAGCTCAGGAACCCAAACTCCACCAACTCAAGGAACGGGGAACACGTCCCCTCCCAGAGGGACTGGATCCACGCTGGGCCCTACCTCCTGTCCTGTTCCATCCCACTTGGCTCTGCTGATGGTATCAGTGCTGACATCGGTCCAGTACACGTGGTCATCCCGGGAGTCCCAGTCCAGGGCCACAGCACTGCGCACGTCAGCCAGTGGGATGACATCGTCGGACAGGTCCTCTGTGTCGAAGCTGATCCGACGGATGTCCATCCTTCGGGCAAAAAGCAGGAACTTGTCAAGACCTGATCAAAGGCCGAGAGGGGTCTCCTTTTAATGCTCTAAATCCAGTAACAGTGACAGACACAGATGCTCACCTGTGTGACACCTGGTTCAATCACACTTCCTGGGACCTGCTGCCCTTTGCCCCTACTCTTCACACTGCAGGTTGCCCTGAAGCACAGCACAGCTCATCCTGGTGGAATCAGACTTTAGAGTCCAATGGGAACAGATCGCACCCACTGCTTAGGTGTCCACCAGCTTCGTTGGAATCATTCTCTCCTCTGACTTCTCTTGACCATTTCCAGTGCATGGCTGGGCCACTGCCAACTCCCAGCCTACTCCTGAGACTTCCATTCTATTTCAGGTCTTCTGCTTTTTTGTTTCCTTGAGTCAGGGTCTTACTCTATAGCCTAGGCTTTTCTCAAAGTCTCAATCCTCCTGCTTCAGCCTCCTGCGTGCTGGAATTATAGACATGCTACCTGGCCAGAGTTTCCGCTTTTATTGTACTGTCTGGAATGATTCTTCCATTTGCTGCCCCTTCACAGTTGTGGCCAATGATGACGGCTCACTAAGTTCCTTCCTTGCCAGGCACTGAGCTTTGTGCTTAGAAAAGCTGAATGCCTCGGAGAGGCACAGTGCAATTTTACTCGGCCATAAAGAAAAATAAAATTACGAACCATGCAGTAAAATGGATGGACCTGGAAAGTATTACATTATTAAGTGAAGTGACCCATACTCAAAATGATTCTCTCCCATACGTGGATCCTAACTGTTAATGTTTATATGTATGTATAGGTGGGTGTGAAAGTGGGTATAGTCTATGTAATTAGATAGATCACAAGAAGAGGGGAAAATACTGTTGAGAAAAGAAAGACAAAAGGGCCTATGACCCCAGAGCAGAAAGGAGACCAAGAGAAGTATAGGGTGTGTGTGTGTGTGATATACTGAGTTTTGATCACACGTACATGCGCATACAGGAGCATGGGGGAGAAGAGGGAAGGAGAAACAGCAAAACCGATTTTGTTTGCTAAATGCCATAATAAAACCTAATTCTTTGTATGCTAATAAGAAAGAAAGAGACAAGCTCAGTGCCTCACACCAGTGCTCTGTGGCACACATTATTCTCACTCCTGTGTTCAGATGAGCATCTGAGGCTAATAGAGATCAGGGAACATGCCCAGTGTCCAATGACTGTGTACCAGAACTGGGACTTAGTTCTGTACCAGCCTGGTCCACAGAGGGAGACTTGGCCACTGCTCTACACAGCAGCTTTTCCATCCTCTGGGCCTCTTCTGGCTTATACTTTCCCAGTACAATTAGCCTTTGGTATGTGCAGGGAATTGATTCTAAGACCCCTGCAGATACTCAATTCACACAAACTTCAGGCCCTTATCTAAAATAGGGTAGTATTTTCATATAACATCCTGTGCACATCCTATATAATCTAAATGATCTCTGGATTACTTATAATCTATATCTATATATCTAATGCAATATATTTGTTTGTTTGATACTGGGGGTTCAATATGCAATGCAACTCCCATTTACATAGTTGTTATACTGTATCCTTCCTTTTTAGAAGTGTGTGTAGGCCTTTTATTAAATTTAATTTTTATTTTATATGTAGGAGTGTTTTGCCTGCATGCCTATATGTGTGCCATGTATGTGCCTAGTGCCCTTGGAGGCCAGAGAATGTCATCAAATCCCCTGGAACCATAGTTACAGGCAGCTGTGAGCTACCATGGGTGCTGGGAACTGAACCTGGGTCCTCCGAAAGAGCAGCCAGTGATCTTAACTGCTGGGCCGTCTCTCCAGCTCCTACAGTGTATTCTTTAGAGAATAATGACCAAGCCAGTTGATACAGGGCCGACAGGATGGCTCACTTGCCACCACACCTAACAATCTGAGTTCCATCCCTGCGCCCCACACAGTAGAAGAGACCTAACTCACAAGTTGTCCTCTGACCTCATGCACACACCAGAACATGGACACAAACATAAGTAAATGGTGGTACATCTTCAGTACAGAGTTTTAGAATTTCCATCCACAGTTGGCTAAATCCACAGACATGAAACTCTAACTATGTATTTCTCTACTCAGAAAGGCACTTTTTGCCTAACTTCACCAAATCCCTCTTCCAAGCTTTGGTAAATCTTCGGGAGGAAGTGCCTGGAAGCATCTTGCATCTCACTAAAATAACAGGAGCAGCCGGGCACAAAAGAAGATATGGGAAAGCAGGTGGTGGTGCACACCTTTAATCCCAGCACTCGGGAGCAGAGGCAGGTGGACCTCTGTGAGGCCAGCCTGGTCTACAGAGTGAGTTCTGGGACAGCCAGGACTACACAGAGAAACCCTGTCTCAAAAAAACAACAAAACAAAACAAAACCACCAAAGAAGAAGAAGAAGAAGAAGAAGAAGAAGAAGAAGAAGAAGAAGAAGAAGAAGAAGAAGAAGAAGAAGAAGAAGAAACAAAATGAATGTACAGGGAAAACACGATGTATGCAACTAGTTTCCAGTATGCATTTGAATGAAACCTCTGAATGTTTTCCCTAATCACTCTCTGGAAAGGGTCCCGAGAATCTGATTTTTGCCTGTGTGTATGTCTGTATATGTGTGAAATTGTATATGGACATGTGTGAACATGCATACATGTGGAAGTTGGGCATGTCCTTTTACAGCTCTTCACCTTATTATTTATTTATTTTGGGACAAGGTCTCTCATTGAACCCAAACCTTACCAATTGGCTAGACTTGGTGGCATATGAGCTTCAGGGAACTGCCTATCTCCCCCTGACCCCCAGCTCTGGGGTTACACACAACACCACACTTGGCTTTTACATGGGTGCTTGGGATTTGAACTCAGGACCTCATGCTTACATGGCAGGTACTTCACCAACTGAGCCATCTCCCCAGCTCCAACTATTTGATTTTAGAGATTTAAGAAAGCCAGTGGATCACACAGCCGTAATGATACAAAAGGAATTGTCCCTGGTCCCTTGATGGTCATGCCGTATGCCTGATCAACTCCTCTCTGGACTAGAAGAAGTCACCTGTGTGCTGAGGTTTCTAGGGTTGACTTTGTAGGGTAATTACCTTGCCAGAGCTCAAAGGAACCCAAAGTAGAGATTCTGGGAGAAATCAGGGAATCCTATCATCTTTTACTTGTTGGTCACAGAACATCATTTGGAATCCCAATCCTGTTTCTCTGTCCTAATGACACAATCTTCTATGGGTCAGGCTAAAGGTGGAGAGGTTGGAAACCACTGTCCTGCTTCCTAGGAGAACTGGACCTTCTTTCTGCCTAGACAGAAGGCATCCTGCTTGGTGACGTGAAAGGCAAGTCCGGTTGCGGGTGTTCTTACACTGAGTGGTGTTGCTAAGCCTTCACATACTACTGCCCGGTTCCTGGTCCTCAGCTTTGATACAGGAGCTCTCAGTCTCTAAAGGTTGTCATGGGCTCCTTGAGGAGTCCGGCTCTCCCCTGGGACAAGCAATCGCTCCAGCTCCTGTCACGGTTCCTCCTAACTGTCCCCACAAGGCACCTCCCCTGAGGTTGGCATCCCAAACCCACTTACTCTGGGCACAGGCGTGGCTGTTGATCTTGCGGAAGCCAGTGGGGCAGGCGCAGGTGTAATTCTGGCCACTGGGTAGACACAGGTGAGTGCAGCCTCCATTGTTGTCCCCACAACGGTTTTTCCCTGCTCAAAGAGCCCAGAGCAAGATGATCAGGGAGATTAAAGGTTTACAAAGGCAGACCCCAGGCCAAGGGGTGGAGGGCTGAGCTCTCTACAAAGAAGAGAGAGACATCTCTCTCTTAATTTTGACATCTCTTAATTTTGATTAATTTTGACATCTCTTACGGAGGCAAGCACAATTAGTATCTGCCCTATAAATGTTTGTGTTATATGGAAACAGTAAAGCCCTGATGGTGTACCACCCGAAATGTCCAGCAGAGGGAGCAACTAGTCCATGTTAATGCCAGTTCTGGACTTCACTGCCCAGAATTAATGCCAGTTCTGGACTTCACTGCCCAGAATTAATAGTATCTATGACAAGTGAAAGGAAGATTCTCAAGAGGCTCCAGCAACCACATCACTGGTGACAAATCTAGCTCACTTAATGAGATTTTTTTTTTTTTACCTGCAGGCTGGCGCTGAGGGTGTAAGGTATGAATATCCATAGGGAAGTGCAGCTTGTTACGAATGATCTCCTGGTTCTTCCCAGTAAACTTGTTGGCACTATTGATGCTCTTGGTGTGCCAGTCTGTCCAATACAAGCTGTCTTCAAAAACTGTGATGGCAAAGGGATGTGGGAGGCCTGGAGACAGTCCAAAAAGACCTTAGTCCAGACATGGCCTGCCATGGCCCTTGAGCTCAGACCTGGCAGCTACACAAACTTCTCCCTCTGCCAAGGCTCCTGGGGGCAGGATTGGGGAAGGAGCAGAGAGATGAAAGAGAGCAGATCAAAGACCTCACCCTGGCTAATGACAGCCTTGCGGTGACTCCCATCTAGATTGGCCCTCTCGATGACGTGGTGTTTAGCATCCACCCAGTACATACGGCGTCCAGCATAGTCGATGGTGAGGCCATTGGGCCAGAAGAGATGAGTGTCAGCAATGATGCGGCGCGCAGAGCCATCCATGCTGGAGGCCTCAATGCGGGGAGTGTTGCCCCAATCTGTCCAATAAATGGTTCTAGGAAGGAAGGACATAAGGGGGTGGGCGGTAGAGAATAGATGCGCATTAACTAGGCTGAAAACCAGAGAGTTTTACACATTGGGTTCCACCGGCTTACCTGAAAGGCATTTTACTTATTTGCTTGTTTACTTATTTTTGAGACAAGGTCTCACTGTACAGCTTTGGCTGGCCTGACACTCACTGTAGAGACCAAGCTGGCCTCAAATTCAGAGATCCACCTGCTTCACTGAGTTCTGGGATTAATGGCGTGCGCCACCATGCTCAGCTTTGAAAGGTGCTTTTGTCTATCTATCTGTCTGTCTGTCTGTCTATCTATTATCCATCTATTTAAAATGATTTCCTCTCACCCCTCCCCATGTTTGAAGACTGAACCCAGAGAATTAAACCCAGCGCCGAATGCTAGGTGCTGTCCTACCACCGAGCTCTATCACCAGCTCTACAGAACAATTTTTTAAATATCGGGATTTAAATGTCTTGAGACAGGGTGTTTATTCATCAGACTTTTTTTTTTTTTTTGAGTGTCTGTTACGGAGAGGGCACAGTGAGCACTAGAAACAGCAGTCAATAAAACAGATGACAATCCCAGGGCTTGTGAAATCGACACTAGCGTGCCACGTCTACGTGAAGACAGACATGCTCTTCGTTCTCGCACTTTCTTCGCTGCCTTGTGTATTTTATGCCCCCTCCCCCCCACACCTTATTTCTCAAACAATTGACATATAATTGCAGGATCTTACAAGTCATCCCTTCAATTGGTGGCATGGAATGTATACAAGCCAGAGGCTAAGAATTTCCATTGCAAGAGACTTCAATGCAGGAGACTTGTCTATTAATTTTTAAAATTATTTCAAACTAATGATATTAATTAGCCCAACTACTAACTGCTTTAAATTAATAATAATTTTTAATTAGCTCCACTCTATGGGCTAATAAAAAACACTAAACAGTTCAAACTTACCTAATTTGTATATTTTATTCCATTTACAGTGCTTCATTATTTAGCCTTAGAACATCTATAAAAGCAGTTACGTTTGTTTGTTTATTTATTTAGATTAGAGTTTCACATAGCCCAGGCTGATCTCCAACTGTATAGCTGAAGGTGACCTTGAATTCCTGATCCTTCTGCTGTCACTTCCCAAATATATATATATACTTATAGAGCTGGTTTGTTTTATATTTGCTGATTAAGAAATAAATGAAGGGAGCATGAAGAGATTGACTCACCCGAGGCTACACAGCCACTTACTACAGAGCCGAGACATAGGGGCATCTGAGGACAGCGCCCAGTCATCAGCATCCCTGAGGATGACCCACAAAATCTGGCCCGGGAGGCCTTAGAGCAATCCCTACTGTTGCAGGAGGGACTAGGAAACTCGAGACACCTACTCACCCCTCCATGGGGTGCAGGGCAATGGCCCTGGGCTTCTCCAGGTTCTGCCACAGCAGCACCTTCCGATGGCCCCCATCCAGGTTAGCCACCTCAATCCTCGATGTCCCAGAGTCAGTCCAGTAGAGCTTGTCATGGACCCAATCCACAGCCAGGCCCCCTAGTGAGAAGAGACAGTGGGAAAGTGTCAGGGATTCACCCCAGGCAGTTCTGGGTCCTAGAGACAAGAGCAAACTCTTCCAAGAAGCCATTTCTGGGGCCAGGACCTTGTGGTAACTATTTTACATGCGTCAGTTCATTTAACCATCACAGGTCTGTGAGCTAGGTACTAGTTTCCACGAAATGGAAATGGAGAACTCAAGCAACTGACCGCGGTCATGCATTTCTTCCTCACATGGCTGAGGATGACCTTGAACTCCTGATCCCCCTGCCTTTACCTCAGGAGTGCACCATCACAGCCTGGTTGGATAACAGACCCTAGGTTCCTGATCCATCCTCCCTCCCTGTCTCCTTTCCCCCCTCCCTTTTATTGTGGCTGGTGCTGGGGATAGAATTCAGTGCCTTTCTTAACTCCAGCCCTGCATACCAACTTCTAAATCACTTAACCTGCTTGTAGGTCTGAGGTCACCAAATTAGTTGTTGCCTTTTGTTTGTTGAGATGGGGGAGGGGAGGGTTTCATGTATCCTAGCCTCTCCTCAAACTGGACACATAGTTAGGAATGACCTTGACTTCTGATCTTTCTGTTTCTATCTCTTCAGTGTTAAGATCACAGGCATCATCAGGTCTGGTTTATGCAGTGCTGGGGGATCAAACCCAGGGCATTACCTATTCATGCTAGGCAAGCACTCCATCAGCTAAAGATTGTCAGCTCTACAGTTGTTTTCTACGTCAGAGTTCCACCCAGATTTCACTGGAAGAGACATTCTGCACCGTGCAGTTTGTAAACACGGGCCTGTTCCTTCCTTTCCACTGTTTTGTGTTGTTGTTGTTTGTTTTTTGTTTTGTTTTGTTGTTTTTTTTGAGACAGGGTTTCTCTGTGTAGTTTTGGTGCCTGTCCTGGAACTCACTCTGTAGACCAGGCTGGCCTCAAACTCACAGAGATCTGCCTGGCTCTGCTGGGACTGAAGGCAAGTGCCACTGCCACCCAGCTCCACTGCTTTTTTACACATCGGCTCCCTGGCTCTCCACTCAGGGCCTTGTTTTCCTACCTGGGCTCTCTAGCCCAGTAGACACAACCTCCTCCACATTGCTGCCATTAAGGTTGGCACGGAGGATGCGATCCAGGGTGACATCAGACCAGAAGACCAGCTCCCGCCGGTGATGAAAGTCAAGAGCAATGGCGTTCTCCAGATTGTTGAGTAGCAGTGTGTATTCAGAGCGGTGCGGGAGCACCTGCCGGATGTCGATACGATTGGCAAACAGTAGCACAGGTTCTGGCCCTGGACACAGCATAGAAACAAAAGCCCACTGGGCTTCAGAGCTACCAGATACCCAACAGCATGCACCCTCAGGCCCTCAGCTGACAGCTGGGGATGGACCCTTTGCCTTCTAGAGTATGTCTCAAGCTGTGGGCATCTGAACTAGAAAAGTAGAATCCTCTCCAACCCCAACCCAATCGCCTTTTGTTTGGGGCCGGGATTGCAACTTGCAGACATAAATCTCTGTACTTCTTAGGAAATCCCTCAGCTCTAGAGCACCTGGCATTCCTCTCTTTAGTCCTAGCCCACCCAGCCAAGTGCCAACTCTCCTTACCCAGAGCCTTGCAGCTGCGCCGGTCAGGCCGTAGCTCATAACCTGCTTCACACCAGCACTGGAAAGCCCCCTCGCTGTTTGTGCAGCCCTGGCTGCAGTACCCCTCCTCAGCACATTCATTCACATCTGTGGACACCAGGCAGGGTCAGGAGGCCTGCCTACGGCCATTTTCCCACTCTGATTCACTCCTCAGTCACATCCCTGTATCCCCATCTACTGCCTCAGCCTGGTGGGAAACTGTGTAACAAGCAATTCGGGGCTTTGAGGTCAGGCAGACCTGATTTCAAATCCCACTTCTGCTGCTTACTAGCTGCGTGACCTTGGGTAAGTTACTCACACTCTCTGCCCTTCAGTTTCCCCTAGCTGCAAAATGGGAGAAACGATCCCCACTTTCCGGAGTTAGTGCAATGATGGAATGACGTCACAGCGGGTATGTCCCACAGCTTCCTATAGGCTGTTCCCACTCAGCATCCTGGCTCTCGCCCAGCGCAGGCCTCAGCTCACCCTGGCATGTTCTCCCATCCTCTGTGAGCCGGTAGCCTGTGTGGCAGGTACACTGCACTGCCCCTCGAACCGTCTGGCACTTCTGGGCACAGCCACCGTTGTTAACATTGCAGTTCTCCTCACCCGTCCGGGGCCCTGTGCCAGCCAAGCCAGAGTTGGGAGTTGAGCCCAGAATCCACCCCCGTCCAGCCAATTTGGCATGCCACCTGGACCACGAAGAACAGCTCCCGAAAACTGTGAGAGTCACAAGGGAGGCCGCCCTTTGAACCCTACGGGTGGGGTTCGGCCACAAACCACGGGCCAGGCCCGTACACTGGAGACACTCACGACAGTTCTGCTGTGGGCTTTCGTCACTGTTGTCACCGCAGTCATTGACCCCATTGCACAGCTTCCTCTGCCCAATACAACGCCCATTCCAACACAGGAACTGGTCAGAGGCACACTGGGGGCTTCCTAGAAAGAGAGGGAGGACGGGAGAGTCAGGTCACAGGAGGGCACGGCTTGGGTCCACCAGGGACAGGAGCCTGTCATTTTCCAGGGTAAACAGGAGTCAGATGAGAGGCAGGTGGGAGGGCTGGGGTCCAAGGCAGGAAACAGCTCAGACAAGGCTGCTTGAGTGTCGTCCGAGTTTGTTTTCTCCCTGAGATTCCACAGTGGGTGAGTGACAGGGACAGAGTGAAAGAGTGTACCTTTATATGCAGAACCAGGTTTAGTGGGTTGAGGGTGTAGACACAGAGACGGCCAGGCCTTCCCGCAGAGGGGAAGCAAACGCAAGGGCTGCTGGCCGGAGAGCAGTCCTTCCTCCCAAGGGCAGCGGGAAAGTGAGAACCGGAGCAGCTGCTAAGACTCACAGTCCTGACTTTGTGTTTCAGAACGTGGGCACGGGTCAATAGTGCACCTGGATCGGACGTGTGCATGTGTGTGCATGTGTGCGATGTGCTGTGTGTACACGTCTGTTTGTGGTGCACGGGTGCATGTGTATGTATGTGTTTGCGGTGCATGCATGCCCATAGAGGTGCAAGCAGAGGCCAGAGGAAGACACCTGATAGCTTCCACCGTTGTTCATTCTCTGTCGTACTGCCTTGAGACAAGATTTCTCGGTGAATCGGAAGCTGGTCGCTTCGGCTAGGCTGGCTGGCTGGCTAGTGAGCTTCTAGAATCTGACTCTCTCTGTCTCCCAGTATTGGTGTCACGGGCACTCACGGCCACGTCCAACTTTCCACGTGGGTACTAGGGATTTGAACTTGGGTTCTCGGGCTTGCGCAGCAAGTGCTTTGACTCACTGAGCTGCCTCCCCTGCCCCTGCTCCTGCATCTGAGCCTGCTCACGGGGCACGGCAGGGAACATCCAGGCTGTTGGAGAGGGAATGAAACACGATTTCTGGCCAGCTGAGAAGCAGTGGCCATGCTCTCTTTCCCCTCGGCCTCCCACTCCCAACATCAGGAGAGGGGCCTGGGGCACCCCTGGGAGACTCTACCTGTGTTCTCACAGTTTTCCTCATCACTGTTGTCTGCACAGTCATCCTCCCCATCACAGCGCCAGGACAGACGGACACAGCGGCCTGACCGACAGCGAAACTGTTCGGCTGTGCACATGGAGGTGGCTGGACAAAGCAAAAGCCTAATGAAAGGCTGGCCCCACCTCAGCCTGAAATGCTACTCTGCCACCCTAAGCATGCAGCCCCCTTCTTGACAGTGGTGTCACAGGTTATATTCTTATGAATCAGGTGGCCCTTGCTCAGAGCGCCTTCCTGTCACCTGCTGGAAAGCTGCCATGATGTGTCTATAAATCCACAGACTACAAGGCGACTGGTACCCCTTTGAAGAGATTGCCTCTGTGCAGTGTACGATCTACACAGCTGTCCAGCTGTTTCATACGTCTTCATGCTCTATTGGCCCCCAAACCCTTCTCCTTCGTTCCCCACCGCCTTGGATGCCACCCTCAACTCACTGCAGTTGCGTTCATCAGACTGGTCATCACAGTCTGCGTCACCATCACAGCGCCAGCCAGCGTTGATGCACAGGCCACTGTCACACATGAATTCCCCAGCGCGGCAGGGCTGGTGGGAAGCTGGGGAAACAAAGATCTTCTGTCTCTAAGCAGCCTGTGCACACAGTGCCTCACGGTAGGGCAGAAAGTCCCATCTCCTGCCCCTCCCAACACTCCAGCTCCTCCCCAGAGAGACCTTGGAATCCAGACACTACTCCCCTCAGCGCCTGCCCCAGCTGGCACCTGTGCCCGGCCGGCATCGGAGGAGCTCCTCCAGGCTGCCCGCCCCTCCTCCCGGCTGGCCAGAGCACTCACAGCAGTCAGACTCGTCCGACCAGTCTCCGCAGTCATCATCTCCGTCACAGTGGTAGATGTCGAGGATGCAGCGGCCATAGGCACACTGGAACTCCTCCAGATTGCAAGGAGGAGAGGGCACTGCCGAGGCTGGAAGGGAGGAGAGCAGCCCTCAGGCCCCGGTGCCTGGGGACAGGGGCCTGACTTTTCACAGGGACAAGCGGCACAGGCAAGGTGTCTTTCTTAAATAGTTTGCAAGTGGGTTCCATTTGTGATGGTCCCACAGACGTCCACATGTTGGTGGACCAGAGGGAGTCAACCCTCCATAACTGCTGCTACCCTAGCTCAGGGCTCATGGATCTCAGGCTGGTCTCAAACAAACACAACCTTGAAATCTCGATCCTTCTGCCTCGGCCTCCTGCCTGTTAGGATTACATACTGGCATATACTACTGTGCCTTCCTGGTTTGCGCAGTGCTGAGGACAGAACCCAGGGCTTGACGCATGCCAAGCAAGTACCTGTAAAAGTCACACCCCCAACACCCCAGCATCGCTCCTTTAGGACACATACTCACTCCCTTGCCTGCCGCACACAACCCTCTCAGCCAGCCCTTATCCAGAGACGGGGCCCTCACGCATCGTCCCAGCCCAGCAACCTCAGGTGGAGGACCACTCACGGCAGCCCTCCTCGTCAGAGCCGTCTTTGCAGTCCGTGTCTCCGTCGCAGTACCAATGCTCAGCAATGCAGCTCCCATCACTGCAGCGGAATTCCTTGTCTGAGCACTTGCGCATGTCTAGGGATGCAATGAGACAGGAGTCCCCTAGACTCTCCTCTTACCATCCTCCCTTGGTGGTTCGGAGCGGTCCATATTCCTGACAGTATAGACCGCTCTGCCCTCCTGCCGCCTCCTTCCGGCGGCGCCAAACCCCTGGAGCAGTTTCAGGGGAGCCCCTAGCCACTCCCACCCTGGACCCCGTCCTGCTCCCAGAGCACCGCTCACCACACTGCTCGTCACTGTTGTCACCACAGTCGTTGTCTCCATCACAGTGCCACAGACTCCGGATGCAGTAGCCGTTCTGGCAGGGGAACTCATCCTCCTCACACTCCCGGGGGGCTGTGGGCACAGATGAATCAGGCTGCTGTGGACAGAGAGCACGGTGCCTGCCAGCCCCTCAGTGAAGCCTCCTGGGGCCGTCAACAGTCCCAGTGCTGCCCCCAGGGGAGGTGACCATGTCGCCGTCGGGTGGGCTTAGCTGACCGAGAGAGGCGGGAGAAGGTCAGAACAAAAGCTGAAGACCCAAGGGCTCATGTGGGCCGGGGGCATCGTGTCCTGACAGAAAATCCTTTCCCAACAGAGCCCATGGAATTCGCCTGTGCCCCTCCAACACTCACGACAGTCCTGCTCGTCAGAGTCATCTTCACAGTCATTGTCTCCATCGCACACCCAGGAGCGGCGGATACACTTGCCGTTGTCACAGTGGAAGTCCAGAGGGGAACAGGTTGGCAGCACTGGGTCCAAGGGAAGGCAAAAGTGAGTCAGGCAGGCAGGCTACACCAGCCGGAAATCCTTGCCCAGCAGCCTGACTCCAAATCCCCCTGTCTCCCCTCCTACCCCTGCCCCCAGCAGATACAGGCCCTACGAAAGGGCAGTTGGGAAGAGGGGCAGCAGAAGAGAATGGGAGGGCAGCAGAAAACCTCTCCGCTAACACACGTAAGCAGTATGAAAAACTCGGGCAAGAGAGAAAAGCAGGACGTGGTTGTAACAGTCGGTAGAGTGTTACATGCATGAAGCCCTGGGTTTGATCATCGGCCCCTCATAAGGCTAGGGGTGGAGGCAGACACATGTAATTCCAACACTTGGGAGGTAGAGGCAGGAGGATCAGAAGCTCAAGGTCCTCAGCTACATATCAAGTGTGAGGCCAGCCTGAACTACATGAGACCCTGCCTCAGAAGATACCAGGCGGGGCACTTTCCCCTCCTTTCCTCTTATTAGAGGATGATTGACACATCTGGGTCCCACTTCTAGAAGTCATTATGATGAGTAAGTCACCTGCATTCTCTGAGCAGAGGTTCCTCTGACTATCCAAGGGGATAATTGCGCTCAACTCACAGAGGTCTTTTGAGATAATGTATAAGAAAGTGATACATGAAAGGGAAGCATTTATCATTATCACAATTAGCTGAGCTGGTTAGGGTTAATGAGGTCCAGGTTGTAGCTTCATTCCCATTAGACTAATTAGTCACCATCAGACGTAGATGCTACGGGCCAGACATGTACCCCTAAACCCAGACAGCTGGCTTAACAGTGAGACTTATATATATCCAAGACAGGACATCCTGGCCCATTGTCTGTCCGTGACTATGCTGGAAGAACAGCAAATTTAAATAGAATGCAAGGCTTTTTTCTTTCCCAGTGTGGGGAGAGGGTTGAATCTAGAACCTCACGCATGCAAGGCAGGTAGCTCCGCTGTTGGTCCACAGCCTCAGCCAGTCATTTATGTGCCTATGGTACATATATACTCATTCAGGCAGATATAAGCATGTGTGTCAACATCAGGGGTCTTCTTCAATAGCTCTCTACCCTATTTTTGAAGTTTATTATTATTGTGGGGAGAGGGCTCGGGAGCCACACAGTGCTCATGAGAGATCAGAGAATAACTTTCTAGGGTTGGTTTTCTCTGTCTACCATGTGAGTCCTAGAAACCAAACCAAGTCATCAGGCTCGGTGGGTGGCAAGCACCCTTACCTGCTAAGCAATCTCACCACTCCCCCCAAAGATAAAATTTCTTATAAGGCTTATCTTAGTTAACATTTGTGATTATACAGAACACTGAAATAAGAAACAAGAAAATAATCTGCATCTATGTATACCATATAAAAATTTAAATGTATGCATGCAGCATACATACAGAATTCACAAATACAAGGAGAGTTATTTAAAGACTCTTTGTAGCTTCAAGAGTATTTTCTTTTCTACTTTTTCCAACTTTTTTCTTTCTTTCTTTCTTTTTTTTTTTTTTTTTTTGAGATAGGGTTTCTATAGCCCTGGCTGTCCAGAAACTCACTTTATAGACCAAGATGGCCTCAAACTCCGAGATTTGCCTGCCTCTGCCTCCCAAGTACTAGGATTAAAGGCATAAGCCACAGTGCACATCCCTTTACCAATTTTTCAAAGTGTATTTTACTGGGATTGTAGGCATGAACCACCCAATAGAAAAACAGACGGTTAAAGGTGTGCATGTGAAGGAGCCATGTCTGTCTCCACTTCTGTTACACTTGCAAGACCCCAACCTTAAGCTGGACACCGGTGGGCATAGAGCACTCCTTGGTCCGTCTTTCACCGCCTCCACTAGCCCCGGGATGCTACTTACTACACCCATCCTCGTCGCTGTGGTCCCCGCAGTCATTGTCGCCATCACACTGCCACTGGGCGGGGATGCAGGTACACTCGCCAAGGGCACTCACTGCACACGTGAAGTGGCTCCGACCACAAGCACACTCCAGGTTGCTGGCTAGGCCTAGGCAGAAAGAAGAGGAAGTAGAAGGCCTCAACTCCTGTCCTCCCAATGCCTATAGGGGTGGGGAGGAGAGGAGCCTAGTCCGTGGGCATTGTCACTCAGAGAGCCACAGGGACAGTGTAAGGGAGATGTGAGGAAAATGTAATTGTGCTTTCTGCCAGGGCAGACATGGTCCCAAAGACACCTCGAGACTTTGGGTTCATAGACAGCCCAGTTCTTTATACAACATCTCTGAAGGCCAGGAGACAAAGCCACCAAGGGGTGCTGTGCTTAGAAGGGGAGCAGGGGACAAATGACTGCTACTAAGATGCCTCTACAGTAGGCTTCCTTCCGAAATGGATACATCTGCCCCCATCTTGAACCCCAAGCACTGAGGGCAAGTGATAATAATGAGACCAGAACCCTGGAGCCTCTTAATGTCAAGGAATCCACATGGGGAGGTAAGAAGAAGTTTGTGAGCCCTACCGTCAGATTTTGCTTTTGAGGAGGGTGATGAGATCAAGCCACCTCAGGACAGAGCCAACTGGGCCCCGTCAGTGCCTTCCTGTCTGTGAGACAGACCACAGCCTGGAGGAAGGCTGTCGGACGCAGCCCCTCCCCCAACCTCAGCAGCATGCAGCTGGGCTTTCCCTATTGAGCATCAAGCTATCTGCCTGGCCAAGTCCCATGACTGGCTGCTGTGCCCCCTCCCCAGAGTACCCAGCAGGATGCCCTGGGATGGCGTGTGAATGGCTCAGTGCCCCTGCTCCAGCCTCAGCTGGAACAAAGGGTTCTTCCAGGGTCACTCTCCCCCCTCAGATTATTCATCTAAGCCGCTGGGCTGCTGCAGCTGGAAGGAGGGGGCCGGCCTTGTTGCTCATCCCTTTTCTAGCTCTCTTCTCTTCCTCCCATTAGCTGGGTCCAGCCTTCAGGCTGGGCTGGAGCAGGGAAGGAGTCAGCTTTCCATCCCTACTCCTGTTCCTGTGCTCTTCACTGCTACGCCCCCAGTCTTCCCTCTTCTCTCCTGGAGGCATGAGGCTGAGGCAGAGCTTCCTAACCTGCAATGGATGGATGAACACATGGATGGCCAATCAGCCTTTGGCATCTGTGAGCCTCTCGAGCTATAGGTAAAATGTATATTTCTGGAGTGAGGGACCTCAGACTCCTACCAGGTTCTCAGCTGAGGCCTGGCCTTCCCTCGACTGTCTACTGTAAGGGATCTAACTACCCCAGGGAAGACGCAGAATTCCCTGCAGAGGACAAGTGGGGTCCTTTCAGGAGGGGTAACAGCTTTGCATACCTCATGAGAAGGCCTCACTACAAGCCCAACACCCCAGTCCAGAGGGTTCTTCCCCAGAGAAACTCAAAAAATCCAATTGCCCAGGACTCTAGCCTGCTCCTTTCCATTCCTAGAGAACTAAGGAGTAAGGGCATCGCTCACTAAGACCTTAGGCAACAGAGCCCAAGGGATAGTGGCTCAGCACAGTATAAGCCCTCCTTTAGGGAAGCCTGGCTAGATTCAGCAGCGTGGAATATTCCAGGCAAGGATACCCCTGGCACACAACTCCCCTTCGTGGAGAAGCTGCAGGAAGAACATAAGGCTTCATGAGTAGGTGTCACCAGGAGTAGAGGAGTAGATTTGACCTTCAGTAGACTAGTGGTCCGCCAGGCAGCTGGGGAGTAGAAGCCAGGGACGCAGTTAAGCATCCCAGCAGCGCACAGGATGCTCCCTGTCCCCACTAACTGGCCCACAGGTCAATAGAGGTGGAGGAACACTGTAGAGTCATACAGTAACAGAGACAGACCTGGAGGGAGATCCAGAAAGAAGGACAAAGAGGAAGAAGGGACAAAATGGAGGGACACAAAACAGGAAAAATGTGAGATTTGGAGCAGACAAGCAAACCTTGGATTCCACCAATCAGGTGCATAACATTGTGCAATTCCCCCTCCCCCTCCTCTTAAGTAGTACTGGGATCAAACCCACTAAGTCACATCCCAGACCTCTTTTTACTTTTTATTTTGATACAAGGTTCGGGGTTTCATTAAGTTGCTGGCCTGGAATTTATTCTGTAGGCCAGGCAGGCCTTAAACTTGAAAGCCTTCTGCTTGGGCATCCCAAGTAGCTGGGATCAACAGGCTGCACTGCTAAGCTTAGCTTCGTGTCTTAATATGGTACAGAAGAGAGAAAGATAAAATAAAAGCCAGAATTAGACATAAAAATCCATGTGGAATAAACGACGTTTAAGCCATGGCACATTGAAAAACGATCACTAAGCAGACATGGGGAGACTGGAGGTATGCAGATGGGGACCACATTTCCCCAAAAGGCCTTGACTGGGGAACTGTTGAATACCAGGGATGGGAGAGCAAGATGAGCAGTTTCCCGGTAACCGTGCAAGGGAAACAAGTACAGAGGGCTGAAGAGATGCTCAACAGTTAAAAACACCGGCTGCTCTTCTAGAAGTCTGGGTTCAATTCCCAGCACCCACGTGGCTCACACCTGTATGTAGCCCCAGTTCCAGGGGATCTGGTGCCCCTCCTGACCTTCTTGGGCACTGCACACAGGGTGCACAGACAGGCAAAATATTCATACACATAAAATGAAAATAAATATTTAAAAAAAAAGAGAGTACAGAAGGCAAAGAGAAGCCATCAACCTTTCCCCGGCCCCACATTTGGCTGAATGATAGCATGAGTTCTGATGTCCCGGTGCATGAACACAGTGTTCCATCAGTCGGTCATCGAGTTGCAGGTAGCTAACGACACACAACTTCCTGCATGTCAGAGAAATGGCTGAAGTCAGAGCTGTGGCGACGTTCAGGCAGCCACCAGTCAGACAAACTTTTGACTTGGGCATTCATACAGGAAGCAGACACATTAGACTCCAAAAGGCAGGCTTCTGGAGGACTGCTTCCCCTCTGGAATCCCCAGGGATGGAATTCTGTCTTTTCACTCAAGTCTTGGCCATGACCAGAAAGGGCAGCTTTTAACCCTTTATGCATAAAAGAATGGAGAGCAAAGGGGGAAGCAAATGGCCGAGGGTGGAGACTGCAGCTCTCCTGGCTCCCAGGGGCTCAGGCAATAGCCCTTCCACCTTACGCACTTCGGCCTCAGGTGTTCATGATCGCTCATGAAGCCATCACTCTTGGGACCCGTGCTAGGACGCTTACAGAAGCTTATTTGTTTATTTATTTATTTATTTTGAGACAGGGTCTTTTTTTGAGACAGTCCTGATTGACTTGGAATTCGCTGTGTAGACCAGTGCTGGTACAGAAGTATTAAAGGCGTGCGCCTCCACATCTGGCTTCAGAGAATCTTTTTGATAGGTTAACCAAAATCTCACCATTTACATCTCAGCTCCCTCAATCCAGCTATCTCAGCCATATTTGCCAGTGCTTTCTTTGGAAAGGGAGAAGGCAAATGCTCACCAAGGGTACCAGTCAGACCCTCTATAACATCATAGACAGCAAGAGAGTCCACATTTTTGAGAAGTTAGTTAATCAAAAGTCTCTGTTTGCTCATCCATAAAATGGGGATAAAAGCAATTCTATACCAAGGAGTCTGGAAATGGTCCTCCTGCCTCTACTTCCCAAGTGCTGGGATTACAGACGTACACCACTATGCATGATGTATGAGGTGCTAGAGATTGAACCCAGGGCTTCATGCATGTTAGCAAGCAGTCTATCAACTGAACTGCATCCCCGGTCCCTGGTGCCCTCCTTTTCTTTCTTTCTTTTTTTTTTCTTTTTTTCTTTTTTTTTGGAGTGACAGGGAATGAACCCAAGGCTTCCAACATGCTAAATATACACGCTACTGCTGAGTCACAGCTTTTAGGCCTGCTCATTCTGGAAGATATCAAAGCCTTCTTTTCCTGTTTCACTGGCAGGAACGATGGGGCTACAAACCTTATTTAATGAGAATAAGTTATCTGAGAGTCTATAACCACATCCAGACCAAGAGGCAACCTGACTCAGCTCCTGAGGCAGCATACTTCAGGGGACATCCATGTGGCAAACCAGTCTACATTGAAAGGGATGACAACAAGGAACCACATGGAAATGGACCCATAAACCCCATCTACCAGAGTTTGTTAGGAGAGTATAGCTTGCCTAGCAAACATCAATAGTAGTAGTAGCAGCAGTCATCATCATCATCACCACCACCAACATCACCATCATCACCATCACCATTATCACTATCATCATCATCATCACCATCATCATCACCATCACCACCACCATCATCATCACCATTATCACCATCATTACCATCATCATCATCATCACCACCATCACCACCATTATCACCACCACCATCACCACCATCATCATCATCATCACCATCACCACCATCACCACCACCATCATCATCATCACCATCATCATCACCATCACCACCACCATCACCACCACCATCACCACCATCATCATCATCATCACCATCACCACCATCACCACCACCATCATCATCACCACCATCATCATCACCATCATCATCACAGAGCTAAGCAGTAGGCAGTTGACAGTAGCTTTCCTCACACTGCCCTGCTTGGACCTATTTGGCCCAGGCTGAGCTGGAAGTCCCTCCCCTGTGTCCCTTTATGTTGCCTACTTACTAGACCTAAGCTTCTTGGCTGTTGAAATTGTGTGCCAGACAGCTCTTACTCATATTCACAGCGCATGTTCGGTGCTGGATATATCGGATGAGCAGTACAAGTTTGTTAAATGCATGAGTAATGCATTCTGGAGTCTTGTGAGAGGAGGGGTCAAAGTAGGAGAGAGGCCCTGAACGGTCGGCCTAAAAGTAGCCAGTTCCTCTCTAACCGGTGCTCAGGAGAACTTCGGCTTCTCTCTCCGCAGGCAGTTTCCTGGTTCTGTTCAGGTGAAGTTCTCTCCCTCGGGAGCTCCTTTTGCCGTATTCTCAGGCTGTGACACTGACGTACTGTAACTAAACTCATTTCCGTCTTACGGCCAGCCTGACCTGGCTGATTCCTTGGTGACCCTCTCAAGAGACACACTAGA